GACAGGTTAGATATGGGTTTTGAAAGACAGAATTCAAGAATAACTCAAGATTTTTATTTTAAACAACTAGAATGATGGAGTAGCCATTCACTGATACTGGAAATACTATAAAAGAAGCAAGGTTTGCTGGGAAGAGGAGTGCAGTATTGGCTGAGATGCCTGTCATACATCTATGTGGACGTATCAAGAAAGAAGCTGAATATCCAAGCTCAGGATAGAGTTGAGCCAAAAATATAAATTGGAAATCATCAGATACTAATTATCTGTGAAGCAAAGAGCCCTGGTGGGATCTACAAGAAATAGACTGTAAATAGAAATAGAAGTCCAAAACCTAAGCTCTGGGGAGGTTAGGATGATGTAGTTGGGGAGATGAGAAGAAATCAACAAAGAAAAAGACCTACAAGGAATAGCCAGAGAGGGAGAAAACCAGCAGAGTTTGGTGTCCTGGAAACCAAATAAAGAAAGGATTTCAAGGAGGAAGAGATCAACTGTCAAATGCCACTAAGTGCTATATAAGTAAGATGTAGTATTTGATTTACAAAGTGATTTGATAAGAAAACTAGGGTACTGAAAACTTCACTTGGAAGAGACAACAGTAGCACTCACATCTAAATCTTATGTTCATTGTGTTGCTTCATCTCTACACATTAAAATGTGAAGTGTGGAACACTATATATTTCAAAAGCTTTCTACTTAACTATCATATGTTTTATGTAAAAGAAGAAAAAATTTAGGTTGTTAATTTTTAACATGACTACATGGCATAATGCTAAATCCATTAGTTCCATTAAAATTCCTCCACTGATTCAAATATGCAGACTAAGAGAGGATATAATCAAACTGCTGTTCCCTTGAAAGAGAGGCCATGGTTAATATAAAAGGCATATACTTGATTTATGTCAAGTGGTAACAGGTAATGCTTTGCATACTCAGCATAAAACACTTTAATGGAATAGTATTGCTCCAAATATACCATACCAAAATTAAAATGAAATTAGAAAAAGACTACTAAATCATAGCTGACAGGGAGCTAAATGCAGCAAGTTAAAATGCATCCCTAATGCTCATCCAGTACCCCTTGGGTCAGTGTGGGTCATCTTTAGTTTGGAATAATTCCAAGTGACTCCCTGGAGTTCTACTGTTACAGTCAGTGGCCTTAGGAAATCCAGAACAGGCCACAAAAACCATAGGATCCCCTATTCATTCCTAGCTTTCAACTGGAGAGATCTTTTCAAAAAGCAATTTTTGATCAAGTTAATGTAATTACTTTGTTATATGAATAACCCTCAGGACACCTCCTTAACCTAGTCTACCCATACTCTCCCAACTAGCTTCATTTCTTTCTTTTGACTTGATCTTTGTTCTTTGAAACAAGTCATGTTCCTACCTTTCTCTTGGCCACAAACCCTTTCTCCCCCTTCCTTTGCTTTATTAATTGCTGTAGATCTTTCAGATAATTATTTACTTCTTTATTTCTATCTCTCTCAGGGCTCTCTGTCACAGCCATTTAGAATGAAGCCTTTATGAAAGCAGGGGCCTTGCTACAACCTCAGTATCAAAAATAATGCCTGGCGCATATAGGAGGCACTCAATAAATACTTGAATATATCCTCTACAACTCAGCACAATGTTACTTCCTTGACCTTCTCATGTCATCATCTTCTCAAAGCCTCATACTTTCCTTCTAGGCCCCAGAAAAAAATCCAGTGCAATCTTCTTAATCAGTTCCAAGAGACATCAGCACAAAGGCAGAACTACTAGAATCTTTCAGATTTCTGAAATTAAAACTCCCCACCCTCTTTTTCCTTGCCTGCTATTAATTAACTCAGACACTTTTTTTCACACCTCTTAAATTTTAGACAAATACCTAAGGGCAAACTAAAAGTCGGGGTGGGGAGTCGATATTTAACCTGAAATAAATTAGACTCAGGAACAAAGTAATTCAACTAATTCTTTCCAGCTCTCTATTACATCTGTAACTATGGATAGTAGGTTAACAGATAATTTCTTTTCCTTGGCTAGCCTCCTGAAGAACACTTTACAAAAAAGACATCTACAAGGGAAATATCAGGGAATAAAAAACCTGATAAAATGACATTAAGCCATGTCTACCACATGTAGATTGCTTACATTGACTTTTCTCAGCATACAGTCAAATAGCATATACACAAAGTACCAAAGGTATTTCAAAGACACAGGTAATAAGTTGCATTTACAAATATATATCCCTCTTTTTTCACCCAAGTAATATGATAGTGTCAATGTTCTTGGGGAGTAGTTGTGGAGGCATTTATGTTTCTGGATATGGCTCTTTTAGGTAAGATACATAATTTAGCAGTAATGTTAACAATGCATGTATTATCCATTAGTAGTACCATTTAGCTCTTCTTTACCCTGTTGTAGTTCTGTATGTATTTAAATGCTCAAGCTCAAGGTAAACTTCTGTTTTAAAAGTTAAAAAACAAAAACAAAACAAAAAATTAACACATTTCTATTTCCAAAATTATTTTTCCATCAATGATGTTCATGGTTCTACATAGTGAAATGAATACTTAATGTTGGTTTAAAAAATCCCTTGCATTTTCAAGGTCAACAATGGAGACTTTGCCAAATACTCTCTCTCTCTCTCTCTCTCTCTCTCTCTCTCTCTCTTGTTTTTCACAAATGTTAGCCAAAATTTGAAAATACACAAAAGAGATTACTAGGTGTTCTTCAGTGCAGTGCTGTGCTTGAACTTTTTTTTTTTTTTTAGATTTTATTTATTTATTTTTAGAAAGAGGGGAAAGGAGGGAGAAAGGGAGAGAAATAAACTAATGGTAGTAGTCTTTCTAACTATCCGGTCTGCTGGAGGAAGGAAGTCAAGTTCCAGATACCTGTGAAGTCAGAGCCTCTCCAGAAATGGCAGGAATTCTCATTGTGCAAAGACATGAGTGGCAGGTACATATCAGAATTTAAGATATCCAGCAAAGAAAGAGTGAAACTTGAGCTCCTTAAGAGTTACAACTCTTAGGAGGCACTATAAACCTACATATTGCAATACCACATATACCCAGATACCACAAAAGTAGACATAATCCAAATTACTAACATCAAAAATTTACCCCAAAAAATGGGTCTTCTGTGGGGCTATACCTCAACTGTATGATAATAATAAGTAAATTTTTAAAAATTATTTCTTGAATTAATCTCAAAAGACCAAATTGGCTAAGATGCACTTATTCCATTAGCAAAGGATATACAAAAACTGTGGAATAAGATAATATGGACCTACAAAGCAACCTGAGTTCCAGGAAAACAAACATAACATATAAAAAGAAAATAATAGTCTCCAAGCAATAAACTAGGATTGCATGCTAGCCCTGGCTTTGTTTCTAGGCTAACCTGAAGAAATAAATTTCTATCTGTGAATTAAGGATTGTTAGGGTTGTCAAAGCTACCTACTGATGTAAGTTATACAACACATACTCAAATACTATTTGCTACCAGAAAGTACTAATAGGTAGACACCTGCATCACACAGCCAACAATACAGACCTACTAGATAATTGCATTCACACTTCTGTGTGGTTGAAGGGTCAATTACTATCTAAAAATTTTCTTCTTTGCTCTTAACACAGGCCAGAGTTCATAATCACTATTCCGTACACTTTCCATTTCTTTCCCTCTCCTTATAGAATAGGGCTGCCCATGGAAGGAAGGTCAATTTAATACTTTAACACCTAGTGTACCAATGAAATTATAACTCTAGCTGCTTGCCTTTAGTCACTTCCACCAAGTTCTTTAAAAGGACATGACTTGGCCCAAGGAGGCAATCTCTCCTTGTAAGAATTATGTAAAGAAGGGAAAATCTGAAACTCTGAATGTATGAGGAAAATGGTTTTACCTTTAAAATGTATCACCTTTCATTTATATATACTTAATGCATAAAGATTTAATTTTCAAGTGCAATCTTTTCAGTGCTGATTTTTCTTTATTATTTTACGATTTCTTCTTGATTATTTTACACAAAAGGCAGAGGAACTAAGTTTGCATCGATGGCATACAAAACCCAAGTTCCGCAGGCATATCTTATCTTGCACTCAAAGCCTTTACATTTGTCTTGACCTTACAATAGAGTTCCTTATAAACATGGTAGTATGATTACTACCTAAATTCACTAAGACTGACAGCATCTGCAGGAGAGAGGCACCCTAGCGACGCCCCCAACTTAAAAGATTGATTTTTTTTTATGAGTTACATCTTTTTTGTCCTCTTAAAATGATTCCAAGTTCTAAATTGCACTCAGTATAGAATCTGATCAAATTTTACAGGGGAAATCTCTTGTAAACAAGGACACGTTTTTCAGGAAGTGAAGAGGCACTTTAGTTACCTCAAATATTGTAAATGGGCGAGTATCGCTCACTGACATTTCGCACATGTCAAACACATTTATGTTACAAAAAGTACTACCCTTTAAGTGAGTAGATGCCCTTCGCAAGCAAATTGCCCAGGGGAACGCCCCCAAGAACTTGATTTAAAGTAATTACCGGGCCTGAAAATGTGTTTTTGTTTTAGAAACTGTCTAAATACCAGCTTTCTCTTGCCCGAATCCAGCCTGAGGACAACAAATTGGTCAACGGCGGAAGTTGCCTGACGAAATGACTGTAACATCAAATTCAATTTTATGATCACAACAAAACCCTCCTTCCGGGCCCAGCCAACACACACATACACATACACACACACACACACACACACACACACACGCACGCCCCCGCCCCCCAACCTTGAGAAAACATCCTTTTGGATGCAACAGGCAATCATGAGACCTCCTGTTGCCAGAAACAGTTCGGCCCGTGGGGACCCGAGACCTGGGAGGACATGCTTGCTCCCCGTTAGAACCTCGGAGGGGCCACAGGCCGGGCATTCGGCCAGCCTGCCGCCCGGCTCGGCCCACATAGCCCGCAACCGCCCCTGCACTTCCCTCGACCCCCCGTGGCCGCCCGGGCACCAGCACTGACCTTCCGCAGGGCCGAGACCAACAGTCCCCGCCATTTCGGACTGTTCTCTTCGCTGAAGAACTCGTACGGCTGCGGCGCCTGCTGCATTGCCCCGGTGGCAGCGCCTCCGCATCAGGGGCTGCCCGCAGACCGAGCCGGGCCTCGCCGGTGACCTGACAGGCAGAGCGCGGGCCGCCTCGCCTCGCCGGCCGCCGCCTCCCGCCTGGGCCGCAGCTACGGCCAAGGCGGCTCGGAGGCGGCGCCGGCGGGCGGGCGGGGGCTTCAGGGGCGGCTTCCTCGGCCCGGGGGAGCTTTGCCTAGCGCTGCGTCCGCAGAGGAAGCACAGCGGCCCGGAGCCCAGGAGACACAAGCTGCGACTGTGGCGGCGGCCTCCTGTCCCAGCGGCGCTGCCCGCGCCTCAGGCCGCTCCTCCTCCTTTGTCTGGGTTCGCAGTTTGGTGGAGTACCTCTAGGCTCGCCCCCACCCCGACTCCCGCTGCGGCTGCCGCAGGCGGAGACAGGCAGAGGCAGAGGTGGCTCTACTCCTCATCCCCGCCCTCCCAAGCGGCAAGGCCACTCGGCCCGACCCACCCGAGTCACCTCCAGAGGGCCCTGGGGACGGACCGGGCGTTTGCGTCGGACGAGCGATCCACACTCTAGCGCACACAGGGCGAGCCACCACAGACACCCCTTTAGCAGCTGCCAACAGCGCCCCACTGGCGCCGCCGAGCTCTGGGTCCCAGCAGTTATGGCCCGGTCTGGCCCCTCCGCCCCGCTCCCATTATCCCGAGTCGCCAAAGGCGGCCAGCACAGAGCATGCGCACCGAGGAGCAGGCAGAGACGCCCGCCGGGCGTGGGGGGCGCGGAGACAGGGAGACTCGGAGACTCGACCGCTTGGAGCAGGAGTCTGTCTTTCTCCCGGATTTGCTAGAAGCCTGTTCCAAACAGACTCTACAACTTAATGACTGCGATTTACAATCTCACTCCTCTCAACCTTCCCAGGACAATCCTGGCACGGTGCCACTCCTTGAGCGTGTCTGGTCCCAGGACTTGTGTCGTGGGAAGTAGTGTGGGGATGTAGAGAGAAAGAAGCATTCGGGCTGGACTCAATATTTAACGTATTCGTGTTTACGTGGCTATTTTGTATATAGGAGATAGTAATTACATCATAGAGTGTGTTGTGGGGACAGAAGGAGGTGAGGCGTGGAAAGCCCTTCGCCCACAGTAGGGTCAGAAAAGGCAGATAATGGCGTTAATGAAACTTGAACTTAAAGATCCTTACCTTGCACCGTCTCCAATGTGTTCACAAAATGATATCGTTTTTGTGAAACTTTCCAAAGATATTTTTGAATTGTTCTCTTAATGGTGTCCTCCAAATTGTGTAGGTGTCAGGTCCCACAAAACCTGGATCCTGGATCCAACTCTATGGCCCAGCTTCAGACTCAATAGCAACCCAAAATCCCCATACTCAATAGCAACCCCAAAAAGATCCTGACCATCGGCTTTCCTGAGTTGAAGAGGCATCAGCTCTAGAAACCTTTATCATTAGCATAAATTTCATCCCACAATAGATGCTGAGCATATGGATTATAATAGATTGTGCCAAGTCACCAGCAGTGAGGAAGGGAAAAGAAAAGGTGCAAAAACTAAGTCTGCCACACTTTAGTTCCAAGATCAGTAGCTGATTACCTTCCCCTAAAACATGCACCAACCATTCTGTCATTTTGGCAAGATCAGAACGCAGGGTTGGAAAATGTAAGAGATCATTTTTTTAATCCAAGTATCTACTGATATAGAATGTCTTCTAATAAATGGTGACACCCACATTCCCATGTCCTGGGGATAAAAGTGAAATGTATGTATTTCTCCAGTGAATCTTTCCATCAGCGAGGGCAAAGACTTAGGCTGACATACAGTGTCTTTGCTTTTCTCTCCTTTTCCTGAACTCCAGCAATAAACTACTAAGCGAACTACTAAACTATGATTGTATTTTCTCACAGGAGAGTCAAGTTGTTATGGACATTTAGAATCTGGCTTGAATGCACATTTTGTTTTGTCAAGGCTATATTTAAATTCTTAAAATTGTTAACATTTTAAAATCAAGAGATTTCGTATATCTGGATTTTCAGCTTCTCTCGACAAAGCTCTGGCAACACTGGACACTGCTGCATTCTTGGAAGGGAACAATCTGCTGGCGGTGAGTAGTGGCTGCCCTCTTCAGAAAAATATGCCATCCCATTTCCCGTTGGCTATATTCCCCACTTGGCATTCTTCACCCTTTTATGTAACCTGCCTCGTCTCTACAGGCGTCTCAGTTGTGATGTCTGAGCTAGGCAGACAAAATGTGATCTATGTGCTTGTGGAGGATAATCCATGAATTGACATCAATAAAAAGTTTCCTAACCAGACAAGTAGGCCATCTAGAAAAAAATGTTGAATCTATACCTCCATACTCTACACTAGGGTAGATTCCAGATGTGTCAAGGATTTAAATGTAAAAAATAAAACTATAGAATAATTTGTTTATAACTTCTGATTTCTACTATGATATAAAATCTAGAAGATTGATACATGGTATTTTTTTAGATGTGTGGAAAAAAAAACCACCACAAGATAAGCCAAAATACAAATAACAGGACAAACTGGAAAAAGTATTTGCAGCTCGTTTCCTAAAGAGTTAATTAATTTCCCTAATATCGAAAAGAGCTCCTACAAATTAAGAGACTAAAACTCAGTAAGAAAAAAAGGATAAGGATAGGAAAAGACAGCTCACAGAAAAGGAAATATAAATGTCTCAAACACATTAAAGATGCTCAACTTCACTCATATTATGGAAAATGCAAATTTAAATTATTATTATTTTTACCTATTTGAATAGCTCTGATCATAAAGTTTGATTATATACTGTGTTGATCAGAGTATGGGGAGGTAGGTACTTCAATATATTATGGGCAAGACTGTAAACTGCTTCAACCTCCATCAAAGGCAACTTGACAATGTCTATGAAAGCTGCAAAGGCACATAACCTTTTACCCAACAAATTCTAGGAATATGTCCTATAGGTAAGTTGCTGAAATGTGAAATGACAGCACAAGGTTACTCATTGCAATATTGTTACAGCAAAAACAAAACAAAAAAAACCTAGAAATAAAAAATTTAAATAATCACTTATAAGAATAAGGGACTGGTTCAACAAAAAATAGTAAATTCTCAAAATGGAACCTATAAAGTCATTTTAAAAGAATAAGGTCACTGTGTTCAGGCCACTTGAAATGAACATTCTCAAAAGTATACTACAAAGCGAAAAGGTCAAGAGGTATAATATAGTATTCAGAGTATGCTACCACTCATATAAAAATGTAGGCAGTACATTTTGTTATATGTAAATATAATATCTCTGCAAAGCTGCACAAGATAGTGAAAATTCTTGTTGCATCAAGGATGAGGACCAGGTGGCTGCAGGAGAGACTTTTCAACCATATGAAAGTTGTACTTGTTCAAAACACTAATTAAAAGCCAAATTAAATGAAAAAGTTCTAACCTCATTATAATCACCTGCTTCAAATGTTAAAAAATGCAACTATTAAACACACTGATACTGTAAGAAAGAGGTCCTATGTATATATAACAAAAAGTTCAACCAGACTTCCAGCCAAGATGGAGGCATAGGTAAATACACTTTGCCTCCTCACACAACCAAAAGAAGGACAACAAATTTAAAACAAAATATAACCAGAACTGCCAGAAAATCTAACTCTATGGAAGTCTGACAACCAAGGAGTTAAAGAAGAAATTCATCCAGACCGGTAGGAGGCGTGGAGATGGGCAGTCAGGGCAGAGAGGACGCATTGTAAGGCGGTGGCTGGAAGACCAGGCGGGCGAGGCAGCGGCTGGCAGACCAGGTGGTTCCAGTGAAGGAAAATAAAGCCTCAAAACCTCAGGAGGTAAAAATCTGTGAGGGTTGCAGAGGCAGGAGAAACTCGCAGCCTCACAGGAGAATCCATTGGAAAGATGCACAGGGTTCTAGAATGTACACAAACCCATCCACCAGGGAATCAGCACCAGAAGGGCCCAATTTGCTTGTGGGTAGCAGGGGAAGTGACTGAAAGCTGGCAAAGAGCCGAGGAAGCAGCATTGTTCCCTCTTGGACCCCTCCCACACATACAGGGTCACAACACAGAGACCTGATTAGCCCCGCCCTGTCCAACACCTAAGGCTCCGCCCCTTACAACGTAACAGGTGTGCTGAAAGAAAGATATATGGCCCAAATGAAAGAACAGATCAAAGCTCCAAAAAATAGAACTAAGCAATGAAGAGATAGCCAACCTATCAGATGCACAGTTCAAAACACTGGTGATCGGGATGCTCACTGAATTGGTTGAGTACGGTTGCAAAATGGAGGAAAAAGTGAAGGCTATGCAAAGTGAAATAAATAAAAACATACAGGGAACCAACAGTAAAGGGAAGGAAACAAGGACTCAAATCAAGGACTGGGAGCAGATGGAAGAGCTAAACATTCAACCAGAACAGAATGAAGAAACAAGAATTCAAGAAAATGAGAAGTGTTAGGAACCTCTGGGACAACTTTAAACAATCCAACATCTAAATCATAGGGGTGCCAGGAGAAGACGAAGAGCAAGAAATTGAGAACTTGTTTGAAAAAATAATGGAGAACTTCCCCAATCTGGATAAGGAAATAGACTTCCAGGAGATCCAGGAAACTCAGGGAGTCCCAGAGAAGTTGGACCCAAGGAAGACCACACCAAGGCACGTCATAATTAAGTTACCCAAGATTAAGGATAAGGAGAGAATCTTAAAGCAGCAAGAAAAGGAGACGGTTACCTACAAAGGCGTTCCCATAAGACTATCAGCTGATTTCTCAAAAGAAACCTTGCAGGCAGGAAGAGGCTGGCAAGAAGTATTCAAAGTCATGAAAGGCAAGGACCTACACCCAAAATTACTCTATCCAGCAAAGCTATCATTTAGAATAGAAAGACAGATAAAGTACTTCCCGGGTAAGGTAAAGTTCAAGGAGTTGACATCATCACCAAGTCCTTATTATATGAAATGTAAAAGGGACTTATCTCAGAAAAAGATCAAAATCTATGAACAGTAAAATGACAAGCTCTCAACTATCAACAGCTGAACCTTAAAAAAAAAACCCCAAAAACTAAGCAAACAACTAGAACAGGAACAGAATCATAGAAATGGAGATCAGAGGGGAGGAGGAGGGAGAAAAATGGGGGGAAAAGGCACAGGGAGTAAAGAAACAGCATAAATACTATATACAAAATAGGCAGGGGGAAGTTAAGAATAGTATGGGGAATGGAGAAGCCGAAGGACTTATATGTATGGCCCAAGGACAAGAACTAAGGTTGGGGGGGAGGATTGCTGGGGGTGGGGCGGTACAGGGTGGAGAGGAATAAAAGGGAGGGAAAAAATGGGACAACTATAATAGCATAATCAATAAAATAAAAAGGATGCAACCAAGATGGTGTGGACTTGGGTTTCAAGTACATTATACAGTAATGAGAATGCAATTAAAGCATTTATGTGACATCACAACCCTACTGTTCTTCCAACTGGCATGAATTATAATTAGTGTAAATAAACATTTAAAATTTTTTAAAAAGCTCAATCATAAATTTGAGTTAAAATTAATATGCTATCATAGTTATAATTTGATAGATATTAGTTTTGTCTTTTTCAAATTTAGAATGGCTTTTGGGAGAAAATTTGAATGACCCAGGCACTACTCAGATTTTAAAAGGCAGTTAAAATGTTACCACTAATATTCTCCCACTGAAAACATTTCAAGAAGGACTTACTCAACATTTCTCCTGTGTACTCTCTCTTCCTCAATTTATTTAAAGCTACAAGTGCTACCAGTCAGTAGCAAACCAAAGCAACACCACAGGAAACAATAAATGTCATTGTCACTCACTTTCAAGTTTCGTTGCTGTACCTAACTTTGGTTCTCTTACAGTCCACCTGCCATAAAGAAATTGGAGCGGGTACTGAGAGAGATCATTTGCCCTATAATGGGAGGCTCATGCCCAGAAGCCCAACCCCCTGTTAGAGATAGCATACCAAAAATGTCTTCCCAAGAACTATTTTTTAGTAAATTTCCAAAAGATTGATTTACTTACTGGACTCCCTCTCCCCAGCTCCCTGGAAATCATTGTGTTCATACATTACATACTTGTACATTCTGCTATGGAACAGAAATAATGTCCCCTGGCGCTCTGGGGTATGAAGATGACACTGAGTTCAGCTAGATAGAAAGCCATTTTTGTAAGAGGAGAAGTACTCCACTTTTTACCCAAAATGTAAACTACTTTACCTCACTTCTCGATTATACACAAATAGAGAACATTTTTTTTTAAGATTGGCTGCTATCTAAAGCCATGATAGTTCAAGTTTGACACATAAAACATTTGAATCAGTGTTTATGAAACTAAAAATTATGTTCACAACACCAAGGCTCATTAAAATATTTTAATATTAATATACATTTTCTTCTCTCAGAAATACACAAAACTTGTCAAGTGTATTGGTACTACACAATAAAACCCTATTGACATAAATACAAAAATGTTTTACAAATAGTTAATAACCTACACATTCAAAACACTTTCAATAAATTTTTCACTTGCATTTTTGGGTGGTATAGCATATACCCACATAGAATAAGGATTGCTTTAATTAGGACAGTTATTTTTGTAATTTCAGTCTTTCACAGCTTAGTGCATATGCAATCTTACCGTTGATGAAATAGAGAATTGTAATATTTTCCATTTCTTAACAGTTTTATAATGCAACAGAAAAATAGCCTGTGTGTCACATTTCTTAGAGGAATCAGTTGTTACGAAGAACCATTAGGGCCTGTTTCTTCTGTGAATGGTTTCCAAATGCTTTAAATATGCTCATTACAAGTTTTGAGTAATTGCCTAGTCTATTTACCTGGGATGTGCTACTTCTTGAACATGAGTGGATGATGTGTAGCCTTTCAAATTAATGGATGAGGTAGTTCAATCAATGTAATCACAAACACTTGAAGTGAAAAGGAAAAAAGAGAAAAGCTTTTTCTAACAGCCAAACTGCATGTAACTTCTAACTCATTTATCACACATCTTTGGAGTGATAAAAAGAAAGAAAAAGACAAAGAGAGCATGATTATTCCTGAGAGAGTACATGTAAGGGAATGGAAGAAAACATCTCACCTAAATGATGGTTCTGTAATAAAAGTTTTCCCAATCTCTAGGCTGCCTTATTTTCATTTATATTTCTATTTTCCAACTTTCTGGATTGCAAGAATCATTTTAACAGATACCACACACATATATACAGCATATAATATACAGTATGGCACTGGCCAATAATTTAAAATACCCATGAAGTACACATGAATGTAAGGCACTTCTGCGGTTTACAAAAGTGAATGCCTCAGAGTTAGGTATTTTCCAAAAATGAAGAAATATCCTCATAAAAGTTTATAGGATCCCTGGAAAACCAAGTCAGCATGAATCATTAGTGATCTTGGCTAACATCTGAGAAACTTGGTGTAACTAAAGAGCAGAGATATAAGAGGTAAATGATTTTTTAAATTACAGAGTTCTGTGTATCAGCGCCAGGATTCTAAAATTGCTCTCGTAAAAACCTATCAGTTCTATGTCCTTTTAGTTTCTCAACCACAGAAAATTGACGAGTTGGCAACAACCATCTATAGTGTACTGCTGTTCTCTTTTGGTGATGACACCACACCAAGTCGGTTATAAAGAGAATGGGAATACAAAAGCCTTTGAATTTCTCTGCAAATATTCAGCTCAGTAGAACCTTACTCAAGTTAATACTTTAAAAATGTGAAATTTCACATATTTTTCAAAAATCAATAATTCCCAAATACAAATATTGTTGCTTTAAATGGGGGCTTTTCTAAGACTTCAAAATTAAAAGGTCTGCAACCTACAATATACTTTCTTGTCTTCAGGAGACAAAAAGTTTAGATATTATACAGTCAAAAAGTTAAGGGAATAGGCAATTTTTTATGCCATCGTTCTCCAAAATTCTAAAAGAGCAAAATCTCTAGATTATGGTTGGTGAGGACAGGTCACTAACAAAGACAGGGATTCAGGACAGATACAACTGTATCTTTTCTCTTTATTCACAAAGTAAAAGAGCATGGATTTTAACCAATTATTTCTATTTTACATAAGCTTAACAATTCAATGGTTATTACATGAGATATCTAAAAAAACGCTATTTTCAAACCATGTTTCTTAAATTAAAGAATGCAATTAGTACACTCTTGTGGATGTTGCTGAATGTGGAGATTAAAATGCATAGCTAGCCCTTTCATTATTTACAATTTAAATCTTTGTTGCACTTCATCTGCAATCATTCCAGAAATTGCAAGGGAAGAAGTAGCAGCAGGGGAAGGTGCATTTCTCACATGAAGAATGCGATTTCCAATAACCCCAACTCCTCCATCAAATACAAAATCTTCTACCAGATTTCCATCTCGATCCAGAGCTTGGGCTCTTACTCCAGCTGGACCTCTGCAAAACCAAGAGTGGAGTCAACTGACTGGAAGAAATAAGGCACTTTACAAGGTAGAGGTCTTAAAGCATTCTTAAAGCAATAAAGTCTTTAGATTTCTGAATGCACAGTCATGTGGAAACCCAACAGGTTTGTCATTTAGAGCCTGTAAAACTTACATCCTCAGCCTAGAGCCTAATGCCTGCCACTTCACAGTGCCAATAAATGCTTATCAAATGAATATACAAATGAGTAAGTTACTTATAAATATCTGTTCTTTCCAAAAATAGCAGATATATCCATATTTAATTAGAATAAACATATTTTTACTTAAATTTATAAGATGAATTATAAAATCAATCAATGGAAATAATAAGGCTCTTCTGATTAACGCAAAGCAATAAAAGTAGGAGATACGTGTATCAGCTGCATTCCTGTATCCACTACAGGATTCTATTTTTGTTTTGCTTTGATTGCACACTAGTAAAATTTATGAAGAAAAACATTTGCAAATGGCAGCAAGTTCTTGTTTTGTAGTTTGTTTTAATTTTTAACAGGTTAGCCTTCAATAGCAGATAACCTTCAATTGATTAAACAAGACAGGATAAAGACAAAAATGAATTAATTTGAAAGTATGCTAATACAGTAAGAACCTTTATTACTAAAAGTTCTGTTTTATAACACTTGAGCTTACAAATTAGAGTTTTTGTTTTTAAAATAATTTAAAAATTTACAGATAAAATTTGAATTAAAAAATTTTTAAATCTAAAAGCACCTTCATTGACTCTGCTCAAGAAAACAGTTTGAAAACAACTGCCTTATACACACCACCAAAACTCAAGGTATCAGGCAACAACATTAAACATTTTTACTGATTATGGACCAATGCAGATAAGTACTTGAGGAAGATATTACACAAAGAACAATATGGGAGCACAGCCCTCTAAGACCTCAGCCTGGCTGAGAAGAGATAATAATAATAGATATTACTTACCAAGTGCTTACCCTTTTGTTAGGAATTTTCTCCTTTAATCCTTACAACAACTCTAACAGGCTGATATAGTTTATATTTAACAGTGACAAAACACACAGTGATTATGTAACTTGCCTTAAGTTCATTTATAAAGAGGTAAATACAGATTACAAGGGTGAAAGGTTCTACAATAAAGGTAAATTATCTGCCTGCAGACAATCTGGACAAGAGATTTTTGAGCTGTAAGGATTTCCAAGTAGGAATCAGAACACAAGACAGAAAGGGACTGAAGCTGAAAATTTCTTTGGCTAAAGATACATAGCAGTGTATCAGCCATTTTCTACATTCTGTATTCGTATCCTACCTCAACTCACCAAAGCAGCATTTCTCCCCTTTTCTTGGACAGTGCTGCCGTTTCTATTGAGAGTATCTCTACGAGTTACTTGTCTCTCTCCTTTTATCTAACAGAATACCGACATGTAAGGGATACACAGGTGCATGACCAGTCACCAATGTTGAGTGTTCAAAATAAAATTTTCCTTTGAACAAGGTTATGTTAGTACATTCCCCTTACTCCTTCTAAACAAAGAGAAGTTAATAGTAATTAACGACAGTTAAAAATTTATCTACTGCCCTGGCTGGTGTGGCTCAGTGGACTGAGTGCCAGCCTGCAAACCAAAGGGCCGCAAGTTCGATTCCCAGTCTAGGGCACATGCCTGGGTTGCGGGCCAGGTCCGGGGTAGGGGGCTGACGAGACGCAACCACTCATTGATGTTTCTCTCCCTCTCTTTCTCCCCCTCTCTTTCTCCCTCCATTCCCCTCTCTAAAAATAAATAAAAAATTTTAAAAAGTATATACTTTTTATTTTTGCTTACAAACACTAATTATGTTCTCAATGGCCCCTACATTCCTGCCCATGTGTTCAAGACCTATAATCCAAACTGTAAAAAACTATACAATATTAAGTTTTTCTAAGGATCTTACTTTAGTTCAAACTAAAGTAGCTATTTAACATGAAATGGTTAAACTACCAAATTCTTCAGTTCCCTATTCAGCACTTAATGCAACTTTAGGGTTTTTCTTTGCATGATTACATATAGACATTTCCCCTCAGAATACTTCAGCTTGAGATGAGTGTTATAATTTGAAATTTCAGCTAAGAAAACCATAAATGTCTTGAGTTGCCAGGACGGCATCTTGCACAACACACCTATATCACCCCCATGTTTAGACATGTTCTTTATACACAGTAAATATTCAATAAGGCTAGAAAATTTTAATTTTTTTACTTCTAATTTTTAAAAATTCTATTTCAGTAGCTGAAAGAACAAATAATTCAGCAAATTTAACATTTTTCGATTTAGCTACATTTAATTGTTTAGTGTTTTTCATAGCCATGTATTTTTACTACATTGGTAGCTAAATTTAATGGGAGTATACATCCTACACTTTAAATATATCCAGAAACAACAGGTGAGCATATAACTAATGGCATCAGTCATCTGAGAAGCACTGTAATTATTGTTTTATTGTTCTGTAGCAGGCATTATCCTGTGGGCGAGAAAACAGTGATGACAGGCTACAACTAAGATCTTTGGCCAGTTCCAAATAGGCCAATTTAGTATTTTATAAAACTCACCAAGGGATCTAATCATCTAAAAATAGATGTTCACATGAGCATATTTAAACTGGGAATGGTAGCATGGAGAAAGCAAACCATTCCATCTTAATTTCCAAGCATAAAGGAAGGGTATTTTGGCTTCTAGTTGTCAACCTTACTGGAACGTGACAAGAGAACTTGGTTTTTCTATGACTAATTTCTGAATTCTGTTAAGAACTTGGTTTAGGGGTTAGAACTTTTTGAGCCTTTGATGTTTTGTAGGGTTTGAATAACGCAAGTATTCTGTAATGGGGGTAGGGGAGTTCTATGAATCAGCTAAATCAAGTGTTATTCAAATCTACATTTTATCTGCCTAGTCTCTTCGATCAATAGACATGTCTTAAAACCATCCACCAGTTATGGATTTGTTGATTTCTGCTTGCAGTTATGTCAGTTTTTGTTTTCTGTATTTTGTATTATACACAATGTTTATGGTGACCCTCTTTATCTCTAATAATAATTTTTGCCTTATGGTATATTTTATCTGAAATGAACCCACTATTCATCTTTCTTCTAATAAGCATTTGCAGAGCACATAGATGGATTTTTTTTAATCCAACCTGACAATCTCCATATTAACTGGTAAGTACATTTACATTTATTGAAATTACTGTTATGTTTGATTTCTACCATATTACTGAGGTTTTTCCATCTCCTTTCTTGACTTACTGGGTTTTCTATATTCTTTTCTCCTCTTTACTGACTTGGAAGTTATATTTCTATTTCCATTCTTGCACTTCGTTTTATTTATTTAGAGTAGACTCCCTGTGCATCCTGAATTTTGTCTTTTTGTCAACTCTAGGAAATTCTCAAATACTCTTCAAAGTACTGCCTCTTTTCAATTTCTCTGGAACTTCTATGAGATGTAGGCTGGAACCTTCTCATTTTCTTCTCTATGTCTTTTAATATCCACATGATGCATCTTTATCTTGCAACATCATTCTCTAAATTCTTCAGATTTTAGTTTACTAATTTTCTCTTAGGGTCTAACCAGTTATCTTAGTCATTTGAGTTTTAAAATTTAAGAACTAGTCCTGCTTGGGTGACTCAGCTGGTGGGAGAATTGTCCCAAGCACCAAAATGTCGTGGGTTTGAATCCAGTTAGGGCACATATTTAGGCTGCCAGTCCATCGGATCCCCAGTTGCTGCCTGAATGGGAGGCAACTAAATCTAATCGATGTTTCTTTCTCACATTGATGTTTCTCTCTCCCTCCCCCTTCTTCCCTCCCACTCTCCCTCTCCTTTCCTCTCACAAGATCAATAAATATATATTTGGGTGAGGACTAAAAATAGTAATAATAGCAAAATTTAAGAACTATATTTTTAATTTCTAGAAATTCTAATTAGTTGGTTTCCAAATTTACCTAGGGTTTTTTGGGTTTTTTTTTTTTTTGTCTTATTCATGTTTCCTGTCTTCCATTCCTTTTTGTTTTTAATCCACTGATGCATATTACTTTATGGTTTCTAATAGAATAGTAATAGTACCTAAAGTTATGAGCAGTCTAATTCTGGTTTTTATTCTATCTGCTTACTCTTACTTACAGTATTTCGTAACTTTTGAGGGTGAATTTCTGTTCAGCAGGACTTGATTGGGGGAATACTGTGGGGGGCTGGGCTGAGGTTCTGTCCCTGCACAGAGGTTTCACATTTGCTTCTATCAGGTGCTCCAGGGGTATTACCACCCTAGGGACACTTTTTTAATGGATTTTTTTCAACATGTACAAAAATAAAATGAACTCCCATGTATGTATTGTCCAGATTCAATAATAATCAACACAGCTGATCATGCTTTATTTAGATATCCACTTACTGTCTACCTCTCTCCACTGGATTATTTTAAAGCAAATCCCAGATGGCACATCATTTCACTGCAATGTATATTTCTTTGAAAAGGATTCTTAAAATAATTTTAAAAACTAATCATTGTTTAGTATCATCAATATTCAGTCTGTGGTCAAATTACCCTGATTCTCTCTCTCTTTCTCTCTCTCATGTTTAAAGTGAGAAAGGGAGAAATAGTTTGAAGTAAAATCTGAGCAAGTCTAGACCTACTTTTTAAATTAATTTCTCAGTATGAAGTTCCTAGATCAAGCTGAGTGGTTCTAGATTTTTAGGAGATTCTCCCCTCCCCACCCACCAAATATGCCCCCTACCCCCCTGCCCCCCACCCTTTCCTTCCCTCAAGACTGGGACAGACAAAATTCCTTAATACTTCCTGGTACCAAGAGGAATTTTTTTTTTAAGACTTCCTTTTCACAGAGGGTGTCAGTCCTTCAAGAGTCGCTGGATGATTACACAGGTCTCAGTTCCAAATTTTTTCTTTTACAGACACAAGGTCTCCTTTCCAGCACTTGAGTAGCATTTAAAATACAAGTCCCTAATGTTTTATATCTTGTTTTGTGTTGATGATTGATGAGGTTATACCAACAATTTTCAATGTTTTTCATTCCATGGTACACATTAATTACTAAAATTCTTCAGCACACCAAAAAAGTGCTTTTTGCCAACCTAACAAAAATAATACATATAACTTTGATTTATTTACACCAGGTGGCCATTGTTGTGTTGGCTGCTGTCATTTTTTTACCTGACATTTTAAGGGAAAAGAGGTCAGTGCCCCTAAATAGCCAGGTATTACATATTTTAAATATTCTTGAGGCACAACTATATGCCTCTTGTAGCACACCGGTTGAAAATCACTGGTTTATACAATTGTCAAAATTCACTGAAAACTTAAGATCTGCATTATTTTACTGTATGTAAATCACAAAGCAATTAAAAATAAAACTCAGTTATATTTATATAAAAATTAGCAAATCCTCTTCACTCCTCCAGAACAGCATCAGCACCAATTTCTTTTGGTATTTGGATTTTCAATTTCCATTTCATTTTTGCTCCTGGGATGCCCCTTACTTTTGTGGATGCTCAGCTATATGCATTTCAAAGGATTTTTATTATATTTTCTCCAGATTCTCTTAGTGTCTTGTAGTGTGAGGGTTACCAAATTCCCTAGATTAGTGGTTTTCAACCAAGTGAGACTTTGCCCCCTAGAGGACATTTGGCAATGTCTGGAGATATTTTTGGTTGCCACAACTAAGGGAGTACTGCTGTCTTCTAGTCAGCAGAGGTCAGGGATGCTGCTGAACATCTTCCAATGAATTAGACAGTCTCCCACAGCAAAGGATTATTTGGCCCAAAATGTCAATAGTGCCAAGACTGACAAACCCTGGTCTAGACCACCTTTACTGTAGGAATGCTTGGCTTTCATCTTTGCATTTCACGATGACACAGTAGAGTCTTTAGCTATCACTCATGATGAAAATATCTTGCCTAAAATTTTATTCTAGAATTCCCCAAATAAGAAATTTTCCAAAGTGAAGAGTGGGAAAAAAGGAGATTTTGGCATATATGTCTTCATATCCCTACAGGGATCTTTCACATCCCTACAATGCTTGCAGATACACACTGCTGTTAGATTATCATACAAAATTAATCACAGAACAAATTAAAGGACTTTAGAGCTAAAATTAAGAGCCTTAGAGATCATGATTTAACAGTGAGAATTTTGTATATCTAATGAATATATTTGACAGATTATAACTTTACATTCCAATCTAATGTTCACCAGTAAGTTATCGCCTAAGATGCTCTGCATAGGCAATGAGAAGTCAAGCTGGAAGCCCACTGGTCATTACTACAATTTAAGAACATCATCCTGAGCTTAATATCCCACTAGAAGTGTTGCTTCCATTCTCTTTTACTATCTAAAACTGCTTAATATGCTTCTGCCTCAATATTAATGATAGAGCCTTAATGGTTTTACTACAGTGGGTTGCAAGATATGCAAGAATTGGGTTTCAAAATGTGGGAAAATCTATTGCTCTTTTTTTGTTATTATTATTTAATATTTCAGACATATGACAAGGTACAGAGAATAATATAATGAACACCTATTTTCTTACCAACCAGCTTAAGAAATAAAGCATTATAGATGATAATAGCCTTCTGTAGAACTCTCTGGATCTCGTTCCTTTCTCTCCCCAGAGGTAACCACTCTCCTGAATTAGGTGTTTATCACTATACTTGTTTCTATTTTCACATTACATATGAGATCCATAAATAATATATAGTATTATTAAACATATAAATAGTATCAAACAGATCTTCTACAACTTCCTTTTTGTTACTGATAATTTCCCATTTTACTAGCTATATGAATAGAATAAAAGGGAAGGAGTATATGGAATTGCTAAATATGTTCAGTTTCTCTATCTCCAAAGAGAAACTCATCTGTGATTGGATTGAATTTATCCCCAAATGCACCTGCTTACAGTACTGTGTACCCTTCTCTACTACATGCTAATGAAACTGGTAACTGAAATCGACACCCTTACACGCAGAAACAAAGGAGTGTTCACCAAAACCCTCAAGCCCCGGTCCAGTTCTACCATATGAAATCCACTGGTCTAAAGAGCTTTCCTCAGGCTTCTACAAAAAGGGTGGTAAGCGAATATGAGGAGTGAATTCACTGCAACTGTTTATACACATATTTCGCTATCCCAACTTATTATATTTTCCAAGGAGTATTAATAGCAGTAACAAACACCAGATTTGACCAACCTATTTTCAGAGAGAAAACATAACAGGTCTGCTAACGGAGGCCACTGAAAACATAAAAGCCTTTATTTATAGGTGAATGAAAGAAAATAAAGCCTAGATATTTTTATCACTTCCATTTCAGAAGGTAAGTAGAGGAGTGAGAGAGATACGGGTAAAAACATTAGCTTGGTTTTAACAGTCCTTCTAAGGATTCAAAGAGGCTGGTCTGAGAATGATATATTAGTCAGATTTAGACCAGGACGCTCCCCTAAGGGAGACAGCTGACATGACTATTGCTCTCTTCCCAGATACAGAGTCAAGCTGCTGACATTTTACACCAGGCAAGTTCAGCAGCTGTTACTGAGGCGACAGACGCTTAGGTCTCTAGAGATTCAAGGGATGGATTCATGGACAGAGAGTACCTCAAAGTACATTCCTGATTAGGCCTAACAAATGGCTTGTTCAGGGAAAAGGGTGAACACCCTAAAAATACCGCTAAAGAGAAAAGTAAATAGGCTTGCGTAGTATTTAGAACAATTTACAGATCAAGTCCAGAAAGCCTTTTACGGTTAAGAAAAAAAAATGTTTTTAAAGTAATCCTTCCTTTGCCCCACTTCCTTGTTACCTCTGTAACAAGGACTCAGGCTGATGGTTACCTCACTAACTGTCCTGCAGAGTAAGAAGTAAAACCCAAAACAGAAAAAAAAAAAAATAGAGAAGTTAGAGTAAGATCCAAAAAAGAAAGAAAACATATAGAGAAGAAGCAAGGTACATTGCTGAGAAAGAAGTGTGTTTCTAAAAGGCTTTAAGAATCAATCAAAATAGAAGGTTTTAATGAGTTTATTATCTAATTAGTTAATATAGTGATCATTGACCTTATACATAAAATTAAAGTCAAAAGGCTTTATAATCATAAGAGGCAGAAGCCAGGTAGATTTTAAATTTCAGACAAGATGTTTTTATCATGAGTGATAGCTAGACACAAAGTCGAAGGTGGCAATATAGCCGCAATAGAGATTTCAGGTTAATTCTGTAAGGCAGGCTAGGTAATTATAAATGGTAGGCATAGTTCAAGTGCTAAGGCATGATGCAGCAATGCCCAGCTCATGCACTGCAAACAAATATCAACAACTTGTTGGAAAAGAGAGAACACACAAAGGTTCAGTAGACACTCTAACGAGTGCCTATGAATCACCAAGTCAGACCCACCTCCCAAGTTCACCTAAGTCATGACTGTATTTACAATCTTGATGGCTCTTCCTTACCTAAGTATATCATCGACGGTAATTTCAGGGATAAACTTTTGAAGGTGCTTCACTGTCGCACTAAGGAAACAGGCTCTATACATTTCATTGACTCCATAGGAGAAATTCTGGAACACCAGTTTAATCAAGCCACTGAAAGCAAAGAAAGTGAAATCTTTATAGGAGAGAAAGAAATTCTTTCTTACTATTAAATACTTTTAGATCTGGGCAGTGGGCATTCCAGAAATTTATGCAAAAAGAGGAAAAACCACATATTAAAAGAACATCAACTTTGGCCAATATAAGAAGGAAGCTTCATCAAAGGGATAGCTTCCAAAGTCCAAAGGTAAACACACTGCAAACTCAAAAATACCAGGGAATGCTGGTTTCAAACTAGAACTCTATAAAGCCTGCCAACAAAATGGCTTTCTCATACAAATGTTCCATGCTTTCAAAACACACCTAAAAAGCACTAGCAGATCTTTAAATCGGGACATTTGAGAAGAGAGGTACATATATATCCTACTTTTTTTTTAATCAGCCAGAGGTAAGATACTTAAGTAGTGATTCTCAAGCGAGACTCTGTGGAGCCTACGTATATGTGAATTTTTAAAAGCACTCATGTTCAAAAAATCCACCCTACACCTTCTGTTTCAGACTCTGTAGAAGGTGAAACTCCAGTACAGCTTGAAAAGCTTTCTAGTAATTTTGATGTGAAACCCTCTGGAAAGCAAAACAGCTAGAAAGACCAAAGCAAAACACAAAACAAAGCAAAAAACCCCTCACTGAGTTCTTAACGTTAGTAAAGAATCTGCATCCCAGGTGAGTACATTGTTAGTTTTCCACAATAGGAAACAACTTTGGTTTCAACAGCTTCTCCAGTGCTTTTCAAAATGACAGTGGTGACTAGCTTGAAATGACTTTATCAAAGTAAGCCATCTACTAATTTTGAAACTTTTTTTGTTTTCAAACGCAATTAGAAGGTTAGCAAAACAAGGTTTAGATTGTCAGATACGTGACTGGTCTTGTTCTTTTTAACCAAGACCTCACCGTGGATCATCAGAATTTTCTTAAAGTAGTTAAAACAATATACTTATTCCATAAAGCTCTTAATTCAGGTTAATTTAAAAAATCAATATATTAATCACAAATGTGAGGATTTACCCAAAAATAGAATCTCAAGAAAGACAAAATTTCCCACATTAAAAATATACACACGTGAAATCATTTTTGAGGTAAATAAAGTTACCTCTTGGTGATTATATCCGTAATATCTCTGGCACTGAAGTCAAAGGGTTTATAGCCCTCTCGTTTAAAGGCAAGAACTGCATTAGGCCCTAGCCAAATACTGCCATCCATCCTTGGCGTGAAGTGAACTCCTAGGAAAGGAAACCGGCTATCTGGGACCTATGGATTTAACACAGCAAAGAACTGTTAGCCCCATTTCATACTGCATTTATTATGCATGCAAATATTCAACAGGTAATGTAGATCAGTTTCTTCCCATGCATTTAATTTGTATTATTTTGATCTGTACTGAGATATGCTTTTCCACTTGCATGCTTCTGCCTAGAAATGCCACATAGAAAACACTGATGCTATTGACACTAACACACACTCCCATCTATTCTTCTTTCTGGGTAAAGAAGAAAGAAACTGTCCTACTTCAGGTTATTCCCTGACCTGCCCTCCCACCCTACCCCCAACTAGGGATGTATGTGGCTGGCAAGTAAAACCAGAGCTGCCAGAAAAACACCCATTTGTAGCACAGGTTTCTGTAAAGTTGGAATGCACTGAGTTGGAGCACATGAAATGGATGCTTTGGAAAGGTCAAAAACGTTAAGTAGCTGAATATCAGTAATTTCATCTAGTTCAACCTAGTAGTTCCATACAGAATAAATTCTTCATTTGAAGGGCTCTGTTTTCTACATCATGAACCTACAGAGTGCCCACAACCCCTTGCTGCACCTACAGGGAGGGAACTGAGGGAGAGGGTAGTGCGTCTGGGCATGCAAAAAGTCAAAGTTCTCTTATGAGTGCTCCTTCCACCAGACAGGAAGGAGGAATCACGTTCTTTCCTGATAGTCCTTCACATGGAACACTCATGCTTTCTAAAGACATGTACTTCTGGGCAATTAAGTATAACTAAAGGACTATGATATCAGAATAAAGATTTAGGAATTTAACCATAAAAGAAAGAGGCAAAATGCTTGCACAAAAAGCTCTCCAAAATACCTCTCTTCTGACCCAGATAAAAGTTTTTGGTTCATTCCCTTTCTGCCCACCATCATCTTGAGCAGCATGAGGAAACAAAAACAGTATACCTACCGGGTAAATATTTCCTTTCACAAGATAGCATTTTTCTGGCTTCAAGAGCAGGTAATCTCCCCGGAATGGTACAATCTGTGGATCGGGATTGCAGCCACTCAACTCAGAAATACGGTCTGAATAAAGTCCTGCGCATGTCACAACATACTGACATTGAACTTCCTCTCCCTAGTGCAAAAGAAAAGAACAGTAATTTATAGGAAGCAGATTGCAGAAGAATAGGTCAAGGGCAGAAAAACAGATGTAGAAGAGACAATAAGGATACAGAAAGGGACTTTTTTCTTTTTATTCCTTATGAAAGAGGAAATTAAATGCAAGTATCAGCAAAATAAATTCTTCAGCATTTAGGTGGCAGCTAGAAACTTAGAGTAGTGGCATGTAAGAGGGTGTCACCTTAAATTTCATACTTTAAATTAGGGATTCAATGGTTGACCTACCTAGTAAGGATACCCTAAACACACACACACACACACACACACACACACACACACTCACTCACTCTCTCTCTCCCCCCCCCCAAGACCATGGAGCTTAACTATTTATTGAGCAAAGTGGCAAACTTCATTTAATACTTTTATTTTTTATTGATTTTTAGAGAGAGAGAGGAAGAGGAGGAGACATTGATTTGTTGCTTCACTTACTTATGCACTCATTGGTTGCTTCTTGTATGTGCCCTGACAGGAGATCAAACTTGCAACCTTGGCATATCAGGACGACATTCTAATCCGGCCAGGGCAGGAGCAAACTTCATTTAGATGGCCCCCACCAGTTTGGCTCCCTCTGTATTTCAGATAGTTTCTCCTGTCTTATCTATGAGTAATTATTCTTTTACTCTTAGGTTGCTTCACACTACAACTGTAAACCACCACCAAACAATTTCTCCTTCCTGATCAATATCTACTTTGCAAACTGAGGCTACTTTCAAAACACCACTCAATCAATCCACGTTTACTGAAGACACACACTACAGTCAAAGTTTCCTTTAACAACTAGGAGGCTGCTAATCTTAGGCTGCTGTATTTTCCCATAAATTTTATTTTGTGATTATCGTGTACATATTCTTCGATTAACCCTGCTCGGATTAGCCAATTTACCACTCTATTTCCTAAATAACTTCATTTAACCAAGATTTGCCATCATACTCCAATTATCATCTCTCTACTTCTTACACAGTAAACAATTAGTATCTCCTTGCTCCAGGTAATTTCTTGTTCTTAGATTTCCTCCCGAGATGATCTGTTTCTGAAGCCTTGGAGTGCTCACTTATCTCAACATTCTTTCTTTTCAGCCCTTGGTGATTCAGCCTTACTCTATTTCTGTATGATTCAGCCTTACTCTATCTCTGTATGCATCCAATTTTTGTGTAGATACAAAGGTAAGCCTCTTTCAAAGAGTTCCAGTCACACTTCTGACAAAAATCAGATGAAACTTCTTTGCAGTGAGTTCAAGTGAACTATACGAAACCATGATAGTTTTTAGACCCTTGAAGTCAAAGGGCTACATCAACAACAACAAACATGAACTTCTTCTAAATTGGTTAATATCTTTTCTAGATAATCTCTGTTCATCTAGAGTGGTACACCAGAAGTACAAGAAATATTAATATTTTTATGTGATATACATCTACTAGTTGTTACTTGAAATGTCAGCAATTCTTTTATTCTTAACATAAAATGTAGATAAGTTCCAAACAAAGAAATGATTAAAAACTGTCACAGGACTCTGAAATCACCTTACGTTATATATGAAACAATAATTAAATTTAGTGACACATTAATTTCACATTCAAAATGAAAATTTAGGTAAGCACTGAAACATACATTTGTTACAAAATATATTTCTTTAAAAAATTAAACTATGCATCTCTATTACTTTTCCATAAGTGAAACAGACTTTTCCTCTCCCTCAAAGTTTCTTTTAAAAATTCCTTTTCTTTTAGCCTCATAAAAGCAGAGATGTTCAACTTGATAAGCTGACACACATTTTTAAGTGATCATTTAACTATACTAAAGGAAATGCCAAAATAAAAGGCAACAATGATAGTGACTGTGAGTAAAACATGTATCCATTGGAATCTCATAGCCCCTGCACATCTTCCATCCTATGATGCCATACTCTCATGAAAATACCGCTTAGATGAGGGTAGGGGCAGAAACAGACTTTTAATCCTTCTCTGAATGGAAACCCTGGTTGCTCTGCCAGCAGACCTGATGGTAATCCAAGTGTCTATGACAGACAGTGATGTTTCATGGAGACTCTGATAGGCCTCTATAGGTGAAATCAGAGCTCAAAACTTTAGGAAATTGGAGGAAGGTTATACCATTCTCTGCAGATAATTATCTTCCTTTTGAGAAAGTGCTTCTGGCTTTGACTCAACACTTGACCACAGGCCACCAAGTTACCATGTGAACTACCCATTATTAAAAGGGTATTGTCTGACTCACCAAGCCACAAAATTGGGTGTGTACAGCAGCACTCTGTCATCAAGAGGAAGTAGAATATACAAGATCAGGGTTGTATAGGTCCTGCAGGCACAGATAAGTTGCAGAGGCAAGTGGCTCAAATTCCCACGACCCCTACTCCAACTAAATTACCTCTTCCCTTTCAACTTGCCCCTGAGGCCCCATGGGACATTCTCTATAATCATTTGGGCAAGGAAGGGAAGCAAAAGTAGAGGCCTGGTTCACAAATGGTTCTGCACAACACACTGGCACCATTTGAAAGTAAACCGCGACAGCACCAGAGCTCCACTTGGCAGTGGCCCTGAATGGCTGTGGTGAAGGGAAATGCTCCCAGAAGGCGGAACTGTGAACACTATACTAGGCATCTACCTCACCTATAGAGATGGCTAGAAGTATGGATCTACAGTTTCATGTGCAATGACTAATGGTTGGGCTGGATGGTCAGGTAAAGGAGCTCTGAAGAAGAGGTATGTGAATGGACCTCTCCAAACAGGCTCGGAGGGTAAAAATATTTAAATTCTATAGGAATGCTCACTGAAGAGTAGCTGGGGCAGAAGATGATTTTAATAATCAGTAGGCAAGATGACCTGCTGTGTGAACATTAGCCTTTTCCCCCAGCCACCCCTGTCCTTACCCAGTGGCTTCACAAATGAAAATGGTAATGGCAGCAAGGATGGAGGTGACATGTGGGCTCAGTAAGATGGACTTACTCACTAAGGCTGATGTGTCCATAGCCACTGCTGAATGCTCCCTGTCCCAACGGTGTAGGTCAATAGAGATATACTGATGTGATCCCTGGACCACTTCAATTTTAAAAAAGGCGGGAGGGCTGGCTGGTGTGGCTCAGTTGGTCAGAGTGTCATCCTATAAACCTAAAGCTTGCAGGTTTGATTCCCGGCCAGGGCACATATGTGGGCTGTGGGTTTGACCTCTGGCCAGGGTGCAAGTGAAAGACAACCAATTGATGAGTCTCTCTCACATCAATGTTTCTCTCCCTTTGTTTTCTCCTTCCTTTCCCCTCTCTCTAAAATCAATAAGCATGTCCTCTGGTGAGGATTAAAAAAGGGGGGGTGGGCAGCACTTAGTCCTCGCTGGAATAGACACTTGCTCTGGCTATAGATTTCTCTTCCCTGCCCACAGTGCTTCTGCAGAAACCGCCGTCTCTGAACTTACAGGATGCCTTACTCAACATTAGGTATTTTACCCAGAAGCATTACTTCTGATCAGAGAGCTTATTTTACAGTAAATGAAGTGTAACAATAGGCTCATGCTTGTGGAATTCACTGATTTTTATCATTTCCCCCATCATCCTGAAGCTGCTAGGTGACAAAGTAGACTCAATAACAGTACTAGCTGGCTGGCAACACCTTGCAGGGCTGGGGCAATGTCTTCCAGAACGCCCTATATGCTCTAAATCAGCAACTAACATATAGAATTGTTTCTCCCACAGCCAGGATTCAGAGCTCTGGAAATTAAGAGGGAGAAATGGAAGGAGCTCCTTACAATAACCCACTAGGTTCTGCTCCTAATCCAAATTTCTATTTCTTAGCACAACTTTGGGCTCTAATGGTTTAGAAGTCTTAGTTCCCAGTTCCCAAGGGAGAAATGCTTCCATTAGAGAATAAACAATTGTTCCATTATGCTAGAAGTCAATACTGTCACACTTAGCCACTTTGGGTTCCTCATGCCAGTGAATCAACAGGTGGAGAAGATTACTGTACTGAATGGGGGTAACTGATCCTGACTTGCAAGGAGAAATCAAGTTACTACCACACAGACAGCCTGGGGGTGATAAAGAGTATGTCTGGAAAAGAGATCTCCTGAGCTCTCTCTTAGTATCCCATGCACTGTTATAAAAGTTGTGGAAACCACCACAACACAAAACAGGCAGGGCTGCTAATGGCAGAGACACTTCAGGAATAAAAGTTTGAGTTACCGCACCACACTAGGAACCCTGACCAGCTGCGATGCTTGCCACAGGTCAAGGGGCTATAGAATGGATAGTAGAAGAAGGAAATTATAAATATCAGCTATGACCACATGATTGGTGACAAAAATGAGGAATGCAGCATTTATGAGAAATGCAGTAGTTATTTCTTCCTCACTGTGAAATATATTGTCTATAATTACATAATTCTTTTTTTCCCTCATTGTTATAAAATGAATTGTGTCCCTCCTCCCACAAAAAATTCATATGTTGAAGCCTTGACTCCCAATGTGACTATATTTGGAGATAGAGCCTTTAGGGAGGTAATTAAGGTTAAATGAGGTCACAAGAGTGAAGCCCTAATATGATAGGACTGGTGTTCTTATAAGAGAAAGAGAAACCAAAAATTGCGCGTGCTCACATTTTCACATTCTCTCTTTCCCCACTCTTCCTCTCTCCTACTCTCTGTCTCTCCCTCCCTCTCTCCCACTCCACCTGAGCACACATAGAGAAGAGACCATGTGAGGACATGGTAAGAGGGCAGCCACCAAAAAGCCATAAGAGCTCTCACCAGAAATCAACCCTGGTGTCAACTTGATCTTAGACTTCTAGCCTCCAGAACTGTGACAAAATAAGTTTCTGTGGTTTAAGCCTATGGCATTCTGTTACGGTAGTAAGCGTGTCTCCAGCTGTATGAAAGATAGTTGAACCTTGTAGGTAGAAGCATAATGTTACTGTATTTGGAAGTGAAATGTGGTTATAAGGGTTGTGAATGGAGGCCAAGTAGAAAAGGGATAGACTGTGAGGGTTTATCCTGTGTCAATTTAGTTAAACTGGACCCCCTTCCCTGAACGGTTCCAACTTAAAGTTGACCAAAACAGGAATTGCATGTGATCTGGTAGGTAGAAGTAAAGCAACAACCATTATTTTTTGAAGGTTATTCTAGTTCAAGGTGGTGACCAACACCCACTGCCAAATGAATTTATGCTCTGTATCCAGCTCTGCTTCCCACATACTAATCTTACTAACAAACCACTGCTCAAGTCTACTACTTGGCTGTGAACACACAGGCAAGAGCTCCCCGAGAACCCCTCATGAGCTTCTCCTTTGCAGTTCTACTTCAACTGGATCCACTTGGCTACTTAGACTGGTTAGATACACCTCTGACATACCAGCTCTCCTTCTGAACCTTTGCTTCCCCAGATCCTTTCACAATTATGTAAGGCCTAATTCCTGCAATAAATCCTATGACACCCATTAATGCCTCTTCTCTCCTGACTGTACTCTGATCATTCAGTGAACACACAGCAAATGCCATTCACCAGTCCTGTTTTAGATCATGTGAAGATGAAGGAAAGCAGGACATCTCCCTCTTTGCAAACTGTGCTGTTCTTCCCGCCCAAGTTTTCTCATTAGTAGAGTTAATAAGGTAGGTGAACAGGTAGAACAATAAAATATCTATCAGTTTTGCCTTAAAATGAAACACTCCAAGTATTTATAATCTTATTCTTTGCCAGCACTATCCCTATATGAATACATTTCCAAGAGGAAACCCTTCTTAGAATGAAAACTATTACACTGCTCTCAAAGAATTTCTCTCAGAATAAATTTACATTAGACAGCATTCAGTGACATAAAATACACTACTGTGGTTAATTCAACTGTTTAAGAAAGGAGAAGGGATGAAAGTAAATAAAATAGATGGAAGTAGTTTTGCTTAAGAATCTTTACCTTTGTATTCCTTATAACAATTGGATATTTCATCCCTGTAAAAAAGAAATTAGTGAAATATTTATTTTTAGTAAAAGAAGACCTACAGTGTTTGAAATATACTAGTAACAGATTTAAGTGAGTTTCTTCTGTCACAGCCATGATTACTTCCCACATTTCATTCTGAAGCTTTTACCAATAACAAGATAACACTAGTTCATATTTGACAATATGTAAAACTCTGGCATGTTTTTAGATTATTTTATATGAATTCATTTAATCTATACTTATAAAGCTTTCCCAACTTAGCTCCAACATAGGGATTCCCAGCTTTTCTCTGAACTACAGACCTAGAAACCATGTTGTAATGTGTATCATCAAAAATCAGTATGTATTTTCCCACAGGTAGAATGCTATGACACTTGTCCAAATGTTGATTTGATTGATTATGCCACCTACCTATAACAATCTCATTTAACAATTTTGCTCATCATCTTAGAATTTAGTAGGACACTGGGAGAATGATTCAGATGGCCAAAATCTAAAGAAAACTGTCAAGGAAAAATAAATGCAGCACTACTATTGTCCTCATTCAAATTTCCCAAAAGCAATTCAAAATTTAAAAAACGGATTCACTTCAATTTTTTATAGTGTTTCCTCAAAAGGGGCAGTTCAGAATGGCTAAGTCATACCGTATCCCCAGACAGTCTGATTCAGTAAGACTGGGAGATGCTGAAGTCTGCTTTTTTAACAAACATCCCCAAGGGATTCTGACTCTAACCAACAGGATAAAGAAGTGTTTGGGGACTAATTTTATACAAACAGCCTTGGCAGCTCAGGTTTTGGCACCAATCAGCCTTTGGCAGCTCAGGTTTTGGATCAGTGCCCAGTTCCAGCAAGGCCCACTGGAAGTCCCAGTTCGCCCGTGTCCAACCCTCCCCTCTGCACCTGCCTCCAGCTCTGTGCCTGCCTCCAGCTCTGCACCCTACTCTGGCCCAGCTCCTGGTGGACCTCCACCAGCATTAGCCCAGCCAAAAGCTGTCCCAGATTTGTTCAGAACTCAATACAAGTCAATTGAAAAAAAAAAAGACAAGGATGGCTTACCATCTTCACTGCTTGAAGGACTTTCTCTAGCCATTTCAATATCTTTTACTTCAAAATTGGTCAAGACAGAGCCACCTGCTTCTTGGAAATCCTGGGCAAATGACAAAGCCACCTGACGGTAGTCTACAATGCCGGTATATGGGCAATCAATAGCCATTAGACCCTGGGACAAGATTATGAAAAAAGTCAAGACAATGCAATTAAAATCACTGAGGACAGTTTGCTCAATAAATTTTATTTTGCACTGAATTTTTTTACTGCTTATTTTGATAGATAACACATATTATCCTTTCTTGGCAAAAAATCTGATAGTTTTCAAGAAAAAGAAAATAAAGGCTTGCCCTGACCAGTGTGGCTCGGTTGGGCATCATTCTGCAAAATGAAAGGTCGCTGGTTCAATTCCCAATCAGGGGACATGCCTGGGTTGTGGGTTTGGTCCCCGGTAGAGGCGTGTGTGAGAGGCAACTGATTAATTTTTCTCTCTCACACAGATGTTTCTTTCCCTCTCTTTCTCCCTCCCTTTCCCTCTCTCTAAAAATAAATAAAATCTTTTTAAAAACTAAATAAAAATTAAAAAATAAATGCTTGCTCCACCAGTGGCTTTGAATTTGAGTGTGTGTGTCTGTGTGTATATATAATGCCTAACATACATAAGACATGATACTAGCTAAATCAGAAAGACTCTATAATCAGCTAATAATCCTCTTTAAAGGAGCTCATTTTGCCAGGCTCTTCCAGCTGCTACAACCAGTTTTTCAGTTTTACTCATCCCTCATCCTATCTGATTCTGATTTATATCTGATTCTGAGCTGAATTCTATATCACCAAACAATTAAGTTTTAAATAAACTCTACTGAGATTTTTCCAGTAGTGGATCATATGTCATACACACTCAGTGAGAACCCAGAATTACTCATTTATTTGCAGAGCATTGATTTGATTTGCCGCAGACTCTATTTTCAAGCCTGCAAATATTGAATGGAGATTGCATGCGGTTAACTCAAATTTTCTCTTCAGATAATACGAGAAATTAACAGCCTGAGCTTCGTTGTGGTTGGTTTGTTTGCCAAGATGTTCAAACTCTCTATATGAATTATCTACAAGCACACTTATTTAATATTTTAGAATAATGTATCCTTTTCTAATTCTGAAGAAAAGGATAAAAAAAAGAATTTCATACACTAAATACTGAATACACTTTGGGGAATCCTTGGTAATAGTATCATTTTTTTTCTTGCCATATTGCGTATACTAGTTTTCCCAAGAGATCTTCCCTAAGAGGGTTGCCTGGCTCAGAATAACTAAAGCCCAGAAGGTGAGTGCGACTGGTAAGTGCTGCCATCTTCTTGTTTGGCCAACACAGCCAAAACTGTCATTGTTGTGGTTCTAAAATAATATTTGATAATATTATGTGAAATGTTTTATTCTTGTATTCAGTGTCCCATCCCTATCCCCAGTACATTTACCTGCTTATCCTTTCAAAGCTACCTACTTCTGATCTATGTTGCCACATGGCCAGATCACACTAAAGGTAAAGGCTCACAAAACACCTGACAGTCTCTCTTCACAAACTGAAAGCAACATTTGAGAAACTTCACCATTTTCCTGACAATCTGCTTCCAGAATGAGAGCATTTGTCCAAGTACAGAAAATCATTCCTTTTGTTCTGATATAGTAAATACATATAAAGATTTTATATTAGCCCTTATATGGCCTGACAATCCCTAAATTCACAGGTCAGTAGCTATAAATCAATTTTGACCTGTAAGTAGTATTTTGTGTACAATAATCTTGGAATCTAAATTAGGATTATACCAAGAGTTTAGTCACAAAAACTTCCTTACCTAGCATAAAACTATGTGACAAGTGTAACACAGGGATAAAAATGTGCTGTAAAAGTGCTCCATATCAGTAGTTTTTTGGAATCCCAAATATCCTCCTTATTCACTTTCTATTCCTATTACCCAGCACAATCCCTGACACATAGAAGGCACTCAAACATTTATTGAATAAATGAACTTTTTAACAGCTGTCTTTAAATATACTAGACTTTTACCATGTCTAGACCTCCCCTAAAAGGTCTCCCTTCTTTTCCTTCCCTTTCTAGTCTTGGCTTTGCCCCTGTCCATAAGATGCTGATGGGCCCACCTATGTGTGTATGTCAGGGGAAAGTGGAGCGAGTCACTGCCGCCAAGCAATCCAACACCCAGGCCCGGGGTGGGGCTGGTGGACAGGCCAGCCACCAGGCAGGAGCTGGGCATGTGCTGTACAGGCTTAGCAGGCCAGAGCTTGAAATCTGAGACCCCAGCAAGTCAGATGGCTAGAAGAGAACTAGGGAAGCAGGCCAGTGAACACCAGGAGTTAGAAGTCAGACAGGAGAATAGAGGCACAGGTGAACGTGTGGTTGACCAATTAAGCTAAAGGCTGAAGAAGCAGTCAGGCTTTGCCTAGAAAGGGAGCTGTCAAGAGCCATCCTCCAAAGCCAAAGTTCACAAAGGCAGTTTAAAAATTTCCAAGATGCTCCCCCGGGAGTACTTAATCTCTCCTTAAAGGAATCTAGTCCAAGAAGCCCTTTAGAGCTGCCCTAACACACTTTTTTCTTTCTGGAGGTCCTGGAAGAAATAAAAGTAATCCTGTACTATGCAAATTTTGCCCACCATTCCTGGTAATGGTGGTCAAGTTGGGAGAGAAAGGAGGAATTTATTTAAGACACCTTTATGAAACAACCAGACTACATTTTTTACTATATACTGTCACCCTAAATAGGCATTGATAATTACAATGTGGCATTATATACAGTAGATCACTTCTGCTAAGGCCTCAGAGAAGAGCAGAATATATCTATTTATAAGTTACATTACACTATTTAATCATCTTTCAAGTCTGGGTTCACCTCTGAGAAGGCTTTCTTAAACTCTCAGACTAAACTAAAAGCTTCTTTTTTTTTTTTTTTTTTGGTTTTCTTATTGAGTTGCATGTACTTTTAAAAAAAGATTTTATTTATTTATTTTTAGGCAGAGGGGAAGGGAGGAAGAAAAGGGGAGAGGAACATCAATATGCATTTCCCTCTCCTGGCGCCCCCTTCTGGGGACCTGGCCCACAACACAGGCATGTGCCCTGACTGAGAATCAAACCGGCAACCCTTTGGTTCACAGGCTGGCACTCAGTCCACTGAGCCACACCAGCCAGGGCCTAAACTAAAAGCTTCTGCTAAGCATTTCCTGGCAGTGAGTTCAAACACAGACTCTCTAACACAGGTACCGGGAGTCCAGCTATTGCATATTGTCAATAAAAAGGTGGGGGGGAAAAGGAACAGGAGATAGAGCCATTCACTGCAACTGGGGTTGGACTGACAGCTTCTGAACCGCTAACAAAGAAAGTTGATATGCAGGGTATTATTATTCATGTCTTTCATGAATATAAGGATAGCACATTTTAAGCAAGATACTCTACAATCCACCCTTCACACTTATGCCAGCCTTATCTTCCTTAAATACAGACTGGATATTGGAGCCACTCTCCTCAAAAATTTTCAGTGGCTCCTGTGCCTACTGGATAAACTTCAAAGTTATTAGCCCGAATATCAGACCCTTTATGTAAGCCTAATCCTGCCTTTTTAGTCTCACTTTTTAAACTTCCTATACACCCTGTGATCCAACTGTACCTCACCACTCACTGCTTTCCAAACATGTCATATGGTCTCAGACCTCTTCTTGCCTTTGCTTATGTTCTTCAGACCTGATATTTTCTCATAGGTGTGGGTGAAAAAGGGAGTTTTATGGGAAGTAACGTCACAGGGTGATCTAATCATAAATCCCTAACTGGGCAGGTCATAGTGGATATGCATGCCCCAGGTGTACAACTTTTTTAGTAAAAGGTTTGTCTTTGCCTTAAAGAAGCCCTGTCCATTGTTTCTGTGTATTTAGCTTTACAGGCCATAGAAATAAGCTGTAACCACCCTCAAAAGAGCCCATAATTTTGCTAGCTACCCTGTAATCCAATCCCCACCTTAGTTTCTCCCATCTTCATATAATATTCCTCATGTTCCTTCCTTAATTTCAAATGCATAACAGCTGCAAAACTGTTATTTTCCAGTGCATTTGAAATCTTGCTCCCTTGCATGTGTCATCAGTTTGGCTCTTATAAAAATTCTCTACAGGTTTGGACATTTCTCATAATGACTTAAGGAAAGAAGAAATCAGGCATTCAGAGTCCGTGGCAATGCCCTCTTGTGTCTGTCAACACACTGCTTTTGTGACAGGACTATCTGTTTCTATGCAATTCCTGCCTCCTATAAATTCACTCCCAGCCTCCATGTCACAAGACTGAGCCCTAAATGGAAATGTCCCTGTGAGCATGTGTGTGGAGTTAGCGAATCACTTACCCTACAATATGGCTCCTTCTTTTTTATATCCTCTTGCTGGATCAGCTTCAGCCCCTGGACACCATTCTGCAGGCCTCTCTCATATAGGGCTTTAAGCCTGGGAATTTCTTCTTGTTCAACAGCTACTATAAGCTTCAAAAAATGATAATATGGACAGAGTTAAACAAACCATCATCTACAAAACATAAACTGACTAGGAAATCATAAATTATTACATGACTCAAATCAGGTTGATTTTTTTAAAATTGTTTTTTCTTCATCTATCTATCTACTTCAACCTTCCTTCATGACTTCATTTTCCTCCTCTACCAAAAAAGTTCTCTTAAGAAAAACGCACTAAAACAAATTTCCCTCAAAGTTAAGATGTAGCCTCACTTTCCACGTCTGCTATCAGTTGCTACACACATCTTGGCCGTAAGCAACTCTGATCACCACCACTCCCTCGCTCCCAGAGGGGACAGAAGCACTGATTGCTTACTCTTTACATTAAAAAACAAAACAACTAAAAAGAACCCCACAGCAACAATAAAACAGAATGACTTTCCTGTATCTATAAAAGAATGTAAAATACCAATACATCAGAAAAACATCCGGTATTCAGTATAATGGGATATCAATAACAGAAAACTATCCATTTTTTTTCCTGGAATCATATGTAGATAAAGAAGCAAAGGTAAAGAACTATGTACAACATTTAAGTCAGACTTTAGCTGTGATCTATGACCTGCGTGTATTGGAGATCTCTCCCCAACGGGTTCACTAAATTCCTTTGAGCCTTGCGATAAGGTGCTACTCAAGACTTGGAGGACAGGACCTTCCAGAAAGCCAACTATGAGAAAAGTGGATTGGAATCTACAGCAAATTTTCATTTAATGTCTTATACACATTTGTACTCCTCTGGAAAGATAATTGGGGACCTATAGTAACTCTAAAGGACAGAGAAATGTTTTCCTCAAAAAACACTAACGTAGTGCCAGTTGGAAAATGTGGTTGTTTTAATTTGTATTTCTTCAATTAAACTAATCTTATAGAAATAAGATGATTAAAAACTAAAGGTAGGGGAATGAGAAGTGAACTCAAGAGTTAAAGATTTTAGCTTCAGTCATAATTGACAGGCTTAAGTGATTAATGCCTGTGGAAAGCTGTTACTACAGGAACTGGAATGCAGGACTGTGCAACTCCAACAAGCAATTCAACCTTTGTGCCTCAGGGGGTCTACAAGCATGGAGATGACATCTGAGCCATTGTGTTCCAGGGAGGGAACGCCCAGTGATGCAGATTGTTGATCAACAGATAAAGAAGTACTAGGAAAAGTCACAGCAGGACTATAACTCTTATCCAGTTAACCTTTTTTCCAAACCCCTTACCGACCCTTTCTTTTCCTTATGAAAAGGTTGGCTTGAAATGAAATGTTGAGACAAGTTTTTGAGGGTACATAACATACCATCTTCACAGATTGCCGGCATCTGAATAAAGTGCCCATAAAGATTCAATCCTTGTTTCTACTTATTGGTTCTGGTGGAGGCAGGCAGCGCAAACGTCAACTTTTCCAGTTTCAGAATAAAGTGCATTACAAAGTATTTACTAATGCATTCTGTTCCAGAGAAAAATGAAGTAAATTTATCAACTTTACTCAAGAATTTTGTCTACTTAATTCTGGGCAAAGAAATTTCTGGGCAATTTTGTTTGAAGTAGTTTCCTCCTCACTTAACAGCGCCCACCCCGTAAGGAAGGCACAGGTGCATATTCATAGGTAAGTTAGAATTTACAAATCACTATTTCATAGCAAGGAGTCAACACAACTTCGGGAGATAATACTTTTAATCAAGGTGTAAAGTTTATTTAAATCAACAAATGATTAATCTTAAAAACAAAGATGGAATCAAAGGACACTATCAAGAAAGCAAAAAGACCATCCACTGAATGGGAAAAACATTTGCAAATTATATAGCTGATAAGGGTCTAGTATCCAGAATATATAAAGAACTCTTACAACTCAACCATAAAACCTATAAATACAGTTTCTTTTTCCCCTTAATAACATGTCAGGACCATTTTCCCATATCATTAAAAAAACCTTCTTAGCATCTTTACTGGCAACCATGAACTTTTATTCTTAAAACTTACATGGAAAAGACAAGAGAATATTATGGATAACTGTATGTCAACAAATTAGATAATCTATATAAAATGGACAAATACATAGGAAGACATAAGCTTCTGAAACTGACTCAAAATCAAAATCTGAATAAATGCATAACATGTAAAGAGATTGTATTAGTAACTTCAAAACTTCCTACAAAGAAAAGATCAGGCCCAGGGATGCTACTCATAAATGCTACCATATGTTGAAAAAAGAATTAGCACCAATTCTTCATAAACTCTTCCAAGAAACAGAAGAGGAGGGAACACTTCCTAATTCAATGAAGCCAGTATTAGCCAGATATCCAAAGCAGACAAAGATGTCAAAAGAAAATAAAACTGCAGACCAGTATCTCTTATAAATATTGATGTAAAAGTCCTGAACAAAATATTAGCAAACTGAATTCAGTAACATATAAAAAGATCATATACTGTGACCAAGTGAAATTTATTGCAGGGATGAAAGACCAATTTAACAGGCAAAAGTCAATTAATGTAACCTATCCTATTAATAGAATAAAAGGCAAAAGCTACATAATTAGTTCAATAGAAGCAGAAAAGGCATTTGAAAAAAAATCCAACACCCTTTTATGGTAAAAAAACAAACAAGAACAACAACAACAACAAAAACCTCTCAACATACTAGGAATAGAAAGGAATTTCCTCAATCTGATAAAAGGCATCTACCAAAAACCCACACTAACATCATACTTAATAGTGAAAGACTAAATGCTTTTCCCCTAAGATAAGGAAAAACACAAGGTTGTCCATTTTCACTGCTTTCACTTTTCAGCACTGTATTAGAGATTCTACCCATGAAAATTAGGCAAGAAAAAAATATAAAAGGCCTCCAAATTGAAAAAGTTAAACTATCTTATTTACAGATGATATGATCCTGCATATAGAAAATCCTAAGTAATACGAACACACACACACACACACACACACAACCTATTAGACTAATATCAAAGAATAAATCTAACAAAAGAAATACAAGACCTGTACACTGAAAAATACAAAACATTGTTGAAAAAAATGAAAGAAGATCTAGGTCAATGCAAAGACATCCCATGTTCATTGTGAGATTTAATATTGTTAAATGGCAATACTCTCCAAATTGATCTATAGATTCAATATAATCTCTACCAAAATCCCAGCTGCCTTTTTAGGGCAACTGAAAAACTGACGCTGATATTCCTATAGAAATACAAGGGACTCAGAAGAGACAAAAAAAATCTTGAAAAAGAAGAAATTGGAGGACTCACACCTCCTGATTTCAAAAAAAAAAAAAAGAAAGAAAGAAAGAAAAAGAGAAACTGCAGTAATCAAGATAGTATGGTACTTGCATAAGGATAGACACATATCAATGGAATAGAACTGAGAATCCTAAACATACCCTCTGATGTTTTATGCACAACTGATTTGTGACAAAGACACCAAAGCAATATAGAAATAGTCTTTTCAATAAATGGTACTAAACAGCTGAATGTACACATACAAAGGAAGCAGGACCCCTTCCTCACAGAATATACCAAAATTAATTTAAAGGTGATCATATGGCCCTGCCAGGTAGCTCGGGTGGTTAGAGCATCATCCTGATATGCCAAGGTTGCGGGTTTATTCCCCAGTCAGGCACAAACAAGAATCAACCAATGAACACATAATTAAGTGGAATGACAAACTGAAGTTTCTCTCTCTCTCCCCCTCTCTCCCCCAACAAATCAATAAATAAAATTTAAAAAATAAATAAATAAAAGCGATCATATGCTGAAAGTACAGGTCCAGGGGAGTGGGATAGAGAACTCTGCTTATGGTGGCAGATCTGTGGAAAAGATAGTAGGCTGGCTATGAAGGGGTTAAGAAATCCCTGAAGCAGTCCAAGAAGCAGGCCAAGGAAATGAATGAGGAAGGGAAGGCATTAAAGCAGAAACAAAAAGAAAAAAAGAGCAGATGCTGCTCAAGGAGCTAAAAGTGAAGGCCGAACGGAAGGAAATTGCACATTTGGGCAGATTCCACACTTGGAATTAAGAATTCTGGCAGAAAATAAGCTGCTCCTTGTGCCTGAGGCAATGATGATCCTTAATTCCATTCCTGTTTAAACATCTGGATTCTCTGCCATAACATCTGTTGCCACCTATAGCTAGAATGAAGTTTATCTTGCAGCCTGTTGTACATTTAAGAATAAACTTTTATTTAAAATGAAAGCATACTGTGGATCATCTTCTCTTTAGTTCTCACTTAGCCATTTCTATCTCAGCTGGGAGGTCAGAGCAAACCCAACCTAGAATCCCCCCGAAGTCTACTCTTCAGTCTTTGTTCTATCCTAAATTCTGTATCACCTGGACTTAAACCAATTCTTTGGGAAGGCTAGGGGGTTAGGGGGTGGGCGGTGATGATAGACCTAAATGTCAGAACTAATGCTATAATAAAACTCTTCAAAGAAAACATACGAGTAATTTTTCACAATCTAAAAGTTAGGCAATGATTTTTTAGGAATGACACTAAGAACAAAAGCAACAAAAGAAAGAGATAAACTGATTCATAAAAATTAAAAACTTCTGGGCTTCAAAGGATACCATCAAGAAATTAAAAAAAGAAAATCTGCAGAATGAGAGAATAATTTTAGTAATATTTTTAAAATTACTATTATCATTACTACTATTTTCTTTTCTTTTTTTAAAAAATCCTGACCAGAGAATATGTTTATTGATTTTAGAGAGAGCGGAAGGGAGAAAGAGAGAGAGAAACATCATCGATCGGTTGCCCCCTGTATACACTCTGACTGGGGATCAAACCTGCAATCCAGGTATGTGCCCGGACCAGAATTGAACCTGCGAACTTTTCTGTCTACAGATGACATTCCAACTAACTGAGCCACACCAGCCACACCAGCTCTACTATTTTATTTTTTAAATAAAAAATATTTTAATATTTTAACAGTATTTTACTAAGTATCTTATAGCTAATAAGGGACTATATCCAGATTATATAAGACACATATGATCAACAATAAAAAGACAAATTACCCAATTAAAAAAGTGGGCAAAAGACATTATTTTCAAAGAAGACAAATAAATGGCCAATAAGCATATGAAAATATGCTCAACATCATTAATAACTAGGGAAATGCAAATCAAAACCATGATGATATACCACTTCACATCCTCTAGGACGGCTAAAATAAGAGATAGACAATGACAAGTGTTGGTGAGGATGTAGAGATATTAGAATCCTTGTTAACTGTTAATGGGAATTTAAAACAGTGCAGTACTTTGAAAAATAGTTTGGCAGCTCCTCAAAGTTTAAACATGGAGTTACCATATGACCCAGCAATTCCGCTCCTAGGCATATGTCCGAGAGAAATGAAAATGGGTCCATACAAAAACCTGTTCATAAATTCCATAGTAGTGTTATTTATAATAGCCAAAAGGTGGAAACAGCCCAAATGTCTACCAATTTATAAATGGATAAACAAAATTTGGTATACCTACACAATGAAATATAAAAAGAATGACATACTCATTCGTGCTACAGGATGAGTGAGCCTGGAAAATATGCTAGTGAAAGAAGCCAGTCACAAAAGACAACATATTGTAGGATTCCACTTACAGGAAATGTCCAGAATAGGCAAATCCAGAGAGATAGAAAGTATATTAGTGGTTGCCAGGGCCCGGGAAGAAGTAAGACTAGGAAGCAGGGGGAATAGGGGATGACTATTAATGGGTATGGGGTTTCTTTTTAGGATAATGAATATGTTCTAAAATTAGACAGTGGTGAGAGCTCCATAATTCTGTGACAACACTAAAAACTGAATTGTATACTTTAAAAGGGTGAATTGTATAGTATATACATTATGTCAAAAAGGTCTTACTTTAAAAATTACATGGAATTAGTCATACCATCTTTTTTTTTTAAAGCTATTCCCTAATAGATTTTGCAAATTACATTGACATAAAGGAAGAAAATCCAGGTATTTTTTAAAAATAAATCTAAGTTCTTTTTTTAAAAGATTTTATTAATTTATTTTTAGAGAGAGGGCCAGAAAGGGAGAAAGAGAAGGAGAGAAACATCTATCAGTTGCTTCTCCCACACCCTGCAGCTGGGGACATGGCCTGCAAGCCAGGCATGTGCCTGGACCAGGAATTGAACCGAAAACTGTTTAGTTTGAAGACCAATGCTCAATCCACTGAGCCACACCAGCCAGGGCAAAGGCCAGGTATTTTTAATTCAACATTAAACATCGCTAAGAAAATTCTACTTATTATAAATAAGTCAAGGTCCTAGTAAAATACCATACCTTGCCACATTGCTTGTAAGAAATTCCCTTTTGGTTACAGTACTCATAGATGAGGGCTGCGCCTTGCACACATAATTTAGCTTTCAGAGATTCAGGTTTATAATAAATTCCACTATGTATGACACCACTGTTATGTCCAGTCTGATGAATAGCTGTCAAACAAGAGAAAAAGAATAAGAGAAAGTACATGACTTTTACAAAACCTAAGAATTGGGGAAACAAACATAGTTGAAGCTATTAGGGACCAAATTTTTAAAAATTCTGTGAGAGCACTGATAACTTCCTCTAGCAGCCATCCCTGGCGCCTGTGCCACACCCCTCCAGTCCATCTTCGATTTAGTCACAAACTAGCCTCTTAACACCAGCAAAGCACTTCCAGGACCCATCACTACTCCGTGCGCTCTACCCCAGGGCCTCTTCTAATGCCCGGAAGAACTCAACATCCCCAGGGGCAATCCTCAACCAGTAGAGAGAGACAGGAGGTAATGGGTAACTGAGGATGATCCTGGGAAATAGTTATGTAGCTCCTCAGAGGTCCCAGTGGAATCAAGCTCATATGGGCAACTTTAATAATGTACTCTCATGAGGTTTTTCCTCCTTCCCTATTTACTATCCCTACCCCCTCACTCCTGTCTCCTAGATAACCTCTCAAATAAATCACCTACAACCAAGTCCTAGTTCTAGGCTCTGCTTTATGGGGAACTCAAACTAGCATACTAACATGACACTCAGCATAAGAGATGGAGAATTGACAAAACGAGCCAGTTAAGCACGAAGAGCAACGCTGATAACATACATACCTAAATCTTTCTCTTTTTCCAGAACACCAATGGAAAGTGCTGGATGTCTCAGGATGAGGGCTCTGGCAGAGGCAAGCCCCACAATTCCACCACCGATGATGACTACATCAAATGAGCTTTAAGAAAAAGTCACCTTTAGCATGTTTACAGTAGATCTCATCAAACTTCGCATGCAAAATTTTATCATCTATGGACAATTAATTAAACTACTAACTTATAATCATTAAAAACAAATATTTGCCCTAGCTGGTGTGGATCAGTGGATTGAGCACCAGCCTGTGAACCAAAAGGTCGCCAGTCAGATTCTCAGTCAGAGCACGTGCCTGGGTTGCGGGCCAGGTCCCCAGCTGGGGAAGGGTGAGAAGCAACTGATCACTCTATCTCTCACACATAGATGTTCCTCTCCCTCTTTCTCTCTCTCTCCTCCTCTTTCTAAAAATAAATAAATAAAATCTTTTTAAAAACCACAAATAAGTATTGGGTTTTGTGCTATTTGGCTTCATACTCATGAAGAAACCTTTAAAAGTTACATGCATGGCTAGTCAGTACTATAATCGTCTACACCCAGCATGCAGGGTGGTTAGTTGATCGAGCTGCTCTAAATCTGCACAGCACTCTGCCTGGCCTAGCTACATGTGTTAGGCATCACACTCTTCTTTACCACCTGTTCTTTTAAAATTCAAATGCAATATTCTTGAGGGTCAGCTAACACATTAAGTCTTTAACACCTTAGTGTGCAAGAATTCTTTTTTTTCCTGTTGAGAAGAAAACAGTCCTGGAACCACAATTTTAGCCACAACAAACCCTGATTATAAACCATTTCAAAAATTAGAAAGGGTTCGTACAGTCTAACTTTTCAACGAGAGGGGTAAAACTTTCCCTTTAACACTGACCTTGTGGTCAAGAAATCAGTTTTATAGAAACATGGCCACTCTTGTTTCTTCCACACCCCACCTATTTCTCCCCCTCCTATATTACATTATGTTGATGCAAATCCTAAATATCATCTGTAAATATTTTAATGTTATTTCTAAAAGGCCTCTTCAAAACACACATATATAATACCATTATTCTAACTAAAAAATGTAACAACAAACATTTTGTATCATTAAATATTAACCATAAAATTTTTGGAAGAAGACACAGGGAAAAAATTCTTTGGGATGTTGGGCTAGGTGAAGAGTTTACACCAAAAACAATGATCCATAAAAGAAAAAAGTTGATAAATTGATCTTCATCAAATTAAAAACTTTTATTCTACAAAAGATCCTGTTAAGAGAATAAGAAGAAAAATCAATAAACTGGAGTTTATATACTTGTGAACCACCTATCTGACAAAGTACTCTATCTAGAATATCTGTTAAGAACTCTCAAAACAAGCCACTTAGAAAAATGGGCAAAAGATGTGAACAAACATATTGTCAAAGAGGACAGCTATACGGATGGCAAATACGCACGTGAAAAGATGTCCAATACCATTAATCATTAGGGAAATGAAAATTAAAACTACAATCTACAATGAGATATCATTGTAGATTGGCTATCATTGCAGAATGGCTAAAATTAAAAACAAAAAGTGGTAACACCAAATACTGGTGAGAATGAAGAGGAAATGGACCACTCACATATTAACTGGTAGGAATATAAAATAGTACAGTCACTGTGGATTAAGAATATGGCGTTTCTTAAAAAACTAAACACGTGCTTACTACAGGTCTTAGTGACTGCATTTATTCCAGAGAAAAGAAAAGTTATGTCCATACAAAGCCCTGTACATAAATGTTTATAGCAGCTTTATTCGTAGCCCAAAACTGAAACTGGTACAGCTATCCTTCAGCTGGTGGATGGTTAAACAAGCTGTGATACATCCATACCATGTAATGCTACTCAACAATTAAGAGGAACCCCAATATCCATATAAGTAACACCTTAGATGAATCTCAAGGACATTATGCTGTGTAAAAGAAAGACATTCTCAGAAGATGACATACTGTGTGATTCCACTTACAGAACATTCTTAAAATGACAAAATTATTGAGCTGGGGAATAGACTAGTGATTGCCAGAGGTTAGGAAGTGGTTCGGAAGGGTGTAGAGATGAGATGTGACTGTAACACCTATAACACAGTAGGTAACACAAGGAATATCTTTGAACTGATGGAACATTTCTGTTTCTGAATTGTGATAGATATACGCGTTAACGCATGACTAAATTGAATAGAAACATACACACATGGAAATGAGTACATGTAAAACTGATGAAATCTGAACAAGGTCTATGGATTGTGCCAGCGTCAATTTCCTGGTTTTGATATGGCACTATATAGTTCTATAATACGTTATCATGGGGGTAAACTGGGTGAAAGGTACATAAGATCTCTACTTTGTTGCAATCTTCTATAACTCTACAATTATTTCAAAATAAAAAGTATAAACAAAACATCCACTAACCCTACTTTCTTTCCCTTAAGAAAAGCTTCCCCAAAAATTGTCTACATAGCTCACGATGAATTACAAATCCTATGACGTTCTAATCCCCCTCCAATACACTAACACACAGCAATCAGAGTAAATTTCTGAAACATCGGCATTTAATCACTTCCTCTTCTTCAAAAAAAAAAAACAAAAAAACAAAAACCTTTTAAAAGCCTCCCAACGCTCTTAGAATGAAATTCAATGTGTGGTTAAAATAAAAACCCTTCTGTGATTGGAGCCCCTCTCCTGGTGTCATTCCACACCATCTCTGACGCTAAGCTCCAGTCACACTCTAGTTCTAGAAAGAGCCAAACTTTCCAGCTTTCAAGCTTCTCATAAACCACCATCTCCACAGAAAGCAGAGAGAGACTGGTTTCCAGTGTGACCTCCAAACTTTAAATCACAGGACACTGAATTCTGCAGGCTTTAATTAGCAACTGAGCTGCTTTTCACTGAGGTAACTCTATGCAGTGCTGGCCTGGAACTGATTTACGACTTGTTTGAGATCTTCCAAGTAACACCAGCGATGCCAGCTAAAAAAGAGCGTATTTGATTGCTTATAGTGTGCTAAGTCCTTCAACGCTCAAAACTATCACCTGTGGGAAAGGCAAGGCTCCCATTCACAACTGAATCTTTAGGGAGCTTCAGTTAACACGCCCAGAGTGAGACAGGATGTGAAGAAGTTTTTTTTCAGAGACAGACTGTTGTAGACCTCTACTCAGCATTGCTCTTACTCTTTTCTTCCCGCCCACAAACACAACGAAAAAATCCTGCAGGTAGCTCCGGGGATCCGAGGTTGGACCCCGTGCTCCACAGGATTCCGACCTCCAACGCCAGGGACAGGGAAGTAGAACAGGGGCATAGGTCCAGCACCAGGCACCTTTGAGGGAAGATGCAGCACAGGTGGCGGGGGCGGGCCAGCGGCTACTCACCTAGTGCTGGCTTTGCGGCCACCCTGGCACAGCGGCCGGGGCCTCCCCAGCGCGGGCCCGCACGCCGCGGAGAAGCCCCCGGGGAAACTCCCACGGGCCAGTCCGTAGGCACTGCCCAGGTAACGCAGCGAGGGGACCATCGCCTGCGACCCCTCCCCTGCCCTAGCCCCAGAGCGGCCACTAGAGCAAGACACTACAGGGGCCCGGCGCTTCTAGCCCCGCCTCATTGGCCCCTGCGTAGGAGGCGGGGCTAGAAGCGCCGGGCCCCTGTAGTGTCTTGCTCTAGTGGCCGCTCTGGGGCTAGGGCAGGGGAGGGGTCGCAGGCGATGGTCCCCTCGCTGCGTTACCTGGGCAGTGCCTACGGACTGGCCCGTGGGAGTTTCCCCGGGGGCTTCTCCGCGGCGTGCGGGCCCGCGCTGGGGAGGCCCCGGCCGCTGTGCCAGGGTGGCCGCAAAGCCAGCACTAGGTGAGTAGCCGCTGGCCCGCCCCCGCCACCTGTGCTGCATCTTCCCTCAAAGGTGCCTGGTGCTGGACCTATGCCCCTGTTCTACTTCCCTGTCCCTGGCGTTGGAGGTCGGAATCCTGTGGAGCACGGGGTCCAACCTCGGATCCCCGGAGCTACCTGCAGGATTTTTTCGTTGTGTTTGTGGGCGGGAAGAAAAGAGTAAGAGCAATGCTGAGTAGAGGTCTACAACAGTCTGTCTCTGAAAAAAAACTTCTTCACATCCTGTCTCACTCTGGGCGTGTTAACTGAAGCTCCCTAAAGATTCAGTTGTGAATGGGAGCCTTGCCTTTCCCACAGGTGATAGTTTTGAGCGTTGAAGGACTTAGCACACTATAAGCAATCAAATACGCTCTTTTTTTAGCTGGCATCGCTGGTGTTACTTGGAAGATCTCAAACAAGTCGTAAATCAGTTCCAGGCCAGCACTGCATAGAGTTACCTCAGTGAAAAGCAGCTCAGTTGCTAATTAAAGCCTGCAGAATTCAGTGTCCTGTGATTTAAAGTTTGGAGGTCACACTGGAAACCAGTCTCTCTCTGCTTTCTGTGGAGATGGTGGTTTATGAGAAGCTTGAAAGCTGGAAAGTTTGGCTCTTTCTAGAACTAGAGTGTGACTGGAGCTTAGCGTCAGAGATGGTGTGGAATGACACCAGGAGAGGGGCTCCAATCACAGAAGGGTTTTTATTTTAACCACACATTGAATTTCATTCTAAGAGCGTTGGGAGGCTTTTAAAAGGTTTTTGTTTTTTTGTTTTTTTTTTTTTGAAGAAGAGGAAGTGATTAAATGCCGATGTTTCAGAAATTTACTCTGATTGCTGTGTGTTAGTGTATTGGAGGGGGATTAGAACGTCATAGGATTTGTAATTCATCGTGAGCTATGTAGACAATTTTTGGGGAAGCTTTTCTTAAGGGAAAGAAAGTAGGGTTAGTGGATGTTTTGTTTATACTTTTTATTTTGAAATAATTGTAGAGTTATAAAAGATTGCAACAAAGTAGAGATCTTATGTACCTTTCACCCAGTTTACCCCCATGATAACGTATTATAGAACTATATAGTGCCATATCAAAACCAGGAAATTGACGCTGGCACAATCCATAGACCTTGTTCAGATTTCATCAGTTTTACATGTACTCATTTCCATGTGTGTATGTTTCTATTCAATTTAGTCATGCGTTAACGCGTATATCTATCACAATTCAGAAACAGAAATGTTCCATCAGTTCAAAGATATTCCTTGTGTTACCTACTGTGTTATAGGTGTTACAGTCACATCTCATCTCTACACCCTTCCGAACCACTTCCTAACCTCTGGCAATCACTAGTCTATTCCCCAGCTCAATAATTTTGTCATTTTAAGAATGTTCTGTAAGTGGAATCACACAGTATGTCATCTTCTGAGAATGTCTTTCTTTTACACAGCATAATGTCCTTGAGATTCATCTAAGGTGTTACTTATATGGATATTGGGGTTCCTCTTAATTGTTGAGTAGCATTACATGGTATGGATGTATCACAGCTTGTTTAACCATCCACCAGCTGAAGGATAGCTGTACCAGTTTCAGTTTTGGGCTACGAATAAAGCTGCTATAAACATTTATGTACAGGGCTTTGTATGGACATAACTTTTCTTTTCTCTGGAATAAATGCAGTCACTAAGACCTGTAGTAAGCACGTGTTTAGTTTTTTAAGAAACGCCATATTCTTAATCCACAGTGACTGTACTATTTTATATTCCTACCAGTTAATATGTGAGTGGTCCATTTCCTCTTCATTCTCACCAGTATTTGGTGTTACCACTTTTTGTTTTTAATTTTAGCCATTCTGCAATGATAGCCAATCTACAATGATATCTCATTGTAGATTGTAGTTTTAATTTTCATTTCCCTAATGATTAATGGTATTGGACATCTTTTCACGTGCGTATTTGCCATCCGTATAGCTGTCCTCTTTGACAATATGTTTGTTCACATCTTTTGCCCATTTTTCTAAGTGGCTTGTTTTGAGAGTTCTTAACAGATATTCTAGATAGAGTACTTTGTCAGATAGGTGGTTCACAAGTATATAAACTCCAGTTTATTGATTTTTCTTCTTATTCTCTTAACAGGATCTTTTGTAGAATAAAAGTTTTTAATTTGATGAAGATCAATTTATCAACTTTTTTCTTTTATGGATCATTGTTTTTGGTGTAAACTCTTCACCTAGCCCAACATCCCAAAGAATTTTTTCCCTGTGTCTTCTTCCAAAAATTTTATGGTTAATATTTAATGATACAAAATGTTTGTTGTTACATTTTTTAGTTAGAATAATGGTATTATATATGTGTGTTTTGAAGAGGCCTTTTAGAAATAACATTAAAATATTTACAGATGATATTTAGGATTTGCATCAACATAATGTAATATAGGAGGGGGAGAAATAGGTGGGGTGTGGAAGAAACAAGAGTGGCCATGTTTCTATAAAACTGATTTCTTGACCACAAGGTCAGTGTTAAAGGGAAAGTTTTACCCCTCTCGTTGAAAAGTTAGACTGTACGAACCCTTTCTAATTTTTGAAATGGTTTATAATCAGGGTTTGTTGTGGCTAAAATTGTGGTTCCAGGACTGTTTTCTTCTCAACAGGAAAAAAAGAATTCTTGCACACTAAGGTGTTAAAGACTTAATGTGTTAGCTGACCCTCAAGAATATTGCATTTGAATTTTAAAAGAACAGGTGGTAAAGAAGAGTGTGATGCCTAACACATGTAGCTAGGCCAGGCAGAGTGCTGTGCAGATTTAGAGCAGCTCGATCAACTAACCACCCTGCATGTGTGGGTGTAGACGATTATAGTACTGACTAGCCATGCATGTAACTTTTAAAGGTTTCTTCATGAGTATGAAGCCAAATAGCACAAAACCCAATACTTATTTGTGGTTTTTAAAAAGATTTTATTTATTTATTTTTAGAAAGAGGAGGAGAGAGAGAGAAAGAGGGAGAGGAACATCTATGTGTGAGAGATAGAGTGATCAGTTGCTTCTCACCCTTCCCCAGCTGGGGACCTGGCCCGCAACCCAGGCACGTGCTCTGACTGAGAATCTGACTGGCGACCTTTTGGTTCACAGGCTGGTGCTCAATCCACTGATCCACACCAGCTAGGGCAAATATTTGTTTTTAATGATTATAAGTTAGTAGTTTAATTAATTGTCCATAGATGATAAAATTTTGCATGCGAAGTTTGATGAGATCTACTGTAAACATGCTAAAGGTGACTTTTTCTTAAAGCTCATTTGATGTAGTCATCATCGGTGGTGGAATTGTGGGGCTTGCCTCTGCCAGAGCCCTCATCCTGAGACATCCAGCACTTTCCATTGGTGTTCTGGAAAAAGAGAAAGATTTAGGTATGTATGTTATCAGCGTTGCTCTTCGTGCTTAACTGGCTCGTTTTGTCAATTCTCCATCTCTTATGCTGAGTGTCATGTTAGTATGCTAGTTTGAGTTCCCCATAAAGCAGAGCCTAGAACTAGGACTTGGTTGTAGGTGATTTATTTGAGAGGTTATCTAGGAGACAGGAGTGAGGGGGGTAGGGATAGTAAATAGGGAAGGAGGAAAAACCTCATGAGAGTACATTATTAAAGTTGCCCATATGAGCTTGATTCCACTGGGACCTCTGAGGAGCTACATAACTATTTCCCAGGATCATCCTCAGTTACCCATTACCTCCTGTCTCTCTCTACTGGTTGAGGATTGCCCCTGGGGATGTTGAGTTCTTCCGGGCATTAGAAGAGGCCCTGGGGCAGAGCGCACGGAGTAGTGATGGGTCCTGGAAGTGCTTTGCTGGTGTTAAGAGGCTAGTTTGTGACTAAATCGAAGATGGACTGGAGGGGTGTGGCACAGGCGCCAGGGATGGCTGCTAGAGGAAGTTATCAGTGCTCTCACAGAATTTTTAAAAATTTGGTCCCTAATAGCTTCAACTATGTTTGTTTCCCCAATTCTTAGGTTTTGTAAAAGTCATGTACTTTCTCTTATTCTTTTTCTCTTGTTTGACAGCTATTCATCAGACTGGACATAACAGTGGTGTCATACATAGTGGAATTTATTATAAACCTGAATCTCTGAAAGCTAAATTATGTGTGCAAGGCGCAGCCCTCATCTATGAGTACTGTAACCAAAAGGGAATTTCTTACAAGCAATGTGGCAAGGTATGGTATTTTACTAGGACCTTGACTTATTTATAATAAGTAGAATTTTCTTAGCGATGTTTAATGTTGAATTAAAAATACCTGGCCTTTGCCCTGGCTGGTGTGGCTCAGTGGATTGAGCATTGGTCTTCAAACTAAACAGTTTTCGGTTCAATTCCTGGTCCAGGCACATGCCTGGCTTGCAGGCCATGTCCCCAGCTGCAGGGTGTGGGAGAAGCAACTGATAGATGTTTCTCTCCTTCTCTTTCTCCCTTTCTGGCCCTCTCTCTAAAAATAAATTAATAAAATCTTTTAAAAAAAGAACTTAGATTTATTTTTAAAAAATACCTGGATTTTCTTCCTTTATGTCAATGTAATTTGCAAAATCTATTAGGGAATAGCTTTAAAAAAAAAAGATGGTATGACTAATTCCATGTAATTTTTAAAGTAAGACCTTTTTGACATAATGTATATACTATACAATTCACCCTTTTAAAGTATACAATTCAGTTTTTAGTGTTGTCACAGAATTATGGAGCTCTCACCACTGTCTAATTTTAGAACATATTCATTATCCTAAAAAGAAACCCCATACCCATTAATAGTCATCCCCTATTCCCCCCTGCTTCCTAGTCTTACTTCTTCCCGGGCCCTGGCAACCACTAATATACTTTCTATCTCTCTGGATTTGCCTATTCTGGACATTTCCTGTAAGTGGAATCCTACAATATGTTGTCTTTTGTGACTGGCTTCTTTCACTAGCATATTTTCCAGGCTCACTCATCCTGTAGCACGAATGAGTATGTCATTCTTTTTATATTTCATTGTGTAGGTATACCAAATTTTGTTTATCCATTTATAAATTGGTAGACATTTGGGCTGTTTCCACCTTTTGGCTATTATAAATAACACTACTATGGAATTTATGAACAGGTTTTTGTATGGACCCATTTTCATTTCTCTCGGACATATGCCTAGGAGCGGAATTGCTGGGTCATATGGTAACTCCATGTTTAAACTTTGAGGAGCTGCCAAACTGTTTTTCAAAGTACTGCACTGTTTTAAATTCCCATTAACAGTTAACAAGGATTCTAATATCTCTACATCCTCACCAACACTTGTCATTGTCTATCTCTTATTTTAGCCGTCCTAGAGGATGTGAAGTGGTATATCATCATGGTTTTGATTTGCATTTCCCTAGTTATTAATGATGTTGAGCATATTTTCATATGCTTATTGGCCATTTATTTGTCTTCTTTGAAAATAATGTCTTTTGCCCACTTTTTTAATTGGGTAATTTGTCTTTTTATTGTTGATCATATGTGTCTTATATAATCTGGATATAGTCCCTTATTAGCTATAAGATACTTAGTAAAATACTGTTAAAATATTAAAATATTTTTTATTTAAAAAATAAAATAGTAGAGCTGGTGTGGCTGGTGTGGCTCAGTTAGTTGGAATGTCATCTGTAGACAGAAAAGTTCGCAGGTTCAATTCTGGTCCGGGCACATACCTGGATTGCAGGTTTGATCCCCAGTCAGAGTGTATACAGGGGGGCAACCGATCGATGATGTTTCTCTCTCTCTTTCTCCCTTCCGCTCTCTCTAAAATCAATAAACATATTCTCTGGTCAGGATTTTTTAAAAAAAGAAAAGAAAATAGTAGTAATGATAATAGTAATTTTAAAAATATTACTAAAATTATTCTCTCATTCTGCAGATTTTCTTTTTTTAATTTCTTGATGGTATCCTTTGAAGCCCAGAAGTTTTTAATTTTTATGAATCAGTTTATCTCTTTCTTTTGTTGCTTTTGTTCTTAGTGTCATTCCTAAAAAATCATTGCCTAACTTTTAGATTGTGAAAAATTACTCGTATGTTTTCTTTGAAGAGTTTTATTATAGCATTAGTTCTGACATTTAGGTCTATCATCACCGCCCACCCCCTAACCCCCTAGCCTTCCCAAAGAATTGGTTTAAGTCCAGGTGATACAGAATTTAGGATAGAACAAAGACTGAAGAGTAGACTTCGGGGGGATTCTAGGTTGGGTTTGCTCTGACCTCCCAGCTGAGATAGAAATGGCTAAGTGAGAACTAAAGAGAAGATGATCCACAGTATGCTTTCTTTTTAAATAAAAGTTTATTCTTAAATGTACAACAGGCTGCAAGATAAACTTCATTCTAGCTATAGGTGGCAACAGATGTTATGGCAGAGAATCCAGATGTTTAAACAGGAATGGAATTAAGGATCATCATTGCCTCAGGCACAAGGAGCAGCTTATTTTCTGCCAGAATTCTTAATTCCAAGTGTGGAATCTGCCCAAATGTGCAATTTCCTTCCGTTCGGCCTTCACTTTTAGCTCCTTGAGCAGCATCTGCTCTTTTTTTTCTTTTTGTTTCTGCTTTAATGCCTTCCCTTCCTCATTCATTTCCTTGGCCTGCTTCTTGGACTGCTTCAGGGATTTCTTAACCCCTTCATAGCCAGCCTACTATCTTTTCCACAGATCTGCCACCATAAGCAGAGTTCTCTATCCCACTCCCTGGACCTGTACTTTCAGCATATGATCGCTTTTATTTATTTATTTTTTAAATTTTATTTATTGATTTGTTGGGGGAGAGAGGGGGAGAGAGAGAGAAACTTCAGTTTGTCATTCCACTTAATTATGTGTTCATTGGTTGATTCTTGTTTGTGCCTGACTGGGGAATAAACCCGCAACCTTGGCATATCAGGATGATGCTCTAACCACCCGAGCTACCTGGCAGGGCCATATGATCACCTTTAAATTAATTTTGGTATATTCTGTGAGGAAGGGGTCCTGCTTCCTTTGTATGTGTACATTCAGCTGTTTAGTACCATTTATTGAAAAGACTATTTCTATATTGCTTTGGTGTCTTTGTCACAAATCAGTTGTGCATAAAACATCAGAGGGTATGTTTAGGATTCTCAGTTCTATTCCATTGATATGTGTCTATCCTTATGCAAGTACCATACTATCTTGATTACTGCAGTTTCTCTTTTTCTTTCTTTCTTTCTTTTTTTTTTTTTTTTGAAATCAGGAGGTGTGAGTCCTCCAATTTCTTCTTTTTTCAAGATTTTTTTTGTCTCTTCTGAGTCCCTTGTATTTCTATAGGAATATCAGCGTCAGTTTTTCAGTTGCCCTAAAAAGGCAGCTGGGATTTTGGTAGAGATTATATTGAATCTATAGATCAATTTGGAGAGTATTGCCATTTAACAATATTAAATCTCACAATGAACATGGGATGTCTTTGCATTGACCTAGATCTTCTTTCATTTTTTTCAACAATGTTTTGTATTTTTCAGTGTACAGGTCTTGTATTTCTTTTGTTAGATTTATTCTTTGATATTAGTCTAATAGGTTGTGTGTGTGTGTGTGTGTGTGTTCGTATTACTTAGGATTTTCTATATGCAGGATCATATCATCTGTAAATAAGATAGTTTAACTTTTTCAATTTGGAGGCCTTTTATATTTTTTTCTTGCCTAATTTTCATGGGTAGAATCTCTAATACAGTGCTGAAAAGTGAAAGCAGTGAAAATGGACAACCTTGTGTTTTTCCTTATCTTAGGGGAAAAGCATTTAGTCTTTCACTATTAAGTATGATGTTAGTGTGGGTTTTTGGTAGATGCCTTTTATCAGATTGAGGAAATTCCTTTCTATTCCTAGTATGTTGAGAGGTTTTTGTTGTTGTGGTTGTTCTTGTTTGTTTTTTTACCATAAAAGGGTGTTGGATTTTTTTTCAAATGCCTTTTCTGCTTCTATTGAACTAATTATGTAGCTTTTGCCTTTTATTCTATTAATAGGATAGGTTACATTAATTGACTTTTGCCTGTTAAATTGGTCTTTCATCCCTGCAATAAATTTCACTTGGTCACAGTATATGATCTTTTTATATGTTACTGAATTCAGTTTGCTAATATTTTGTTCAGGACTTTTACATCAATATTTATAAGAGATACTGGTCTGCAGTTTTATTTTCTTTTGACATCTTTGTCTGCTTTGGATATCTGGCTAATACTGGCTTCATTGAATTAGGAAGTGTTCCCTCCTCTTCTGTTTCTTGGAAGAGTTTATGAAGAATTGGTGCTAATTCTTTTTTCAACATATGGTAGCATTTATGAGTAGCATCCCTGGGCCTGATCTTTTCTTTGTAGGAAGTTTTGAAGTTACTAATACAATCTCTTTACATGTTATGCATTTATTCAGATTTTGATTTTGAGTCAGTTTCAGAAGCTTATGTCTTCCTATGTATTTGTCCATTTTATATAGATTATCTAATTTGTTGACATACAGTTATCCATAATATTCTCTTGTCTTTTCCATGTAAGTTTTAAGAATAAAAGTTCATGGTTGCCAGTAAAGATGCTAAGAAGGTTTTTTTAATGATATGGGAAAATGGTCCTGACATGTTATTAAGGGGAAAAAGAAACTGTATTTATAGGTTTTATGGTTGAGTTGTAAGAGTTCTTTATATATTCTGGATACTAGACCCTTATCAGCTATATAATTTGCAAATGTTTTTCCCATTCAGTGGATGGTCTTTTTGCTTTCTTGATAGTGTCCTTTGATTCCATCTTTGTTTTTAAGATTAATCATTTGTTGATTTAAATAAACTTTACACCTTGATTAAAAGTATTATCTCCCGAAGTTGTGTTGACTCCTTGCTATGAAATAGTGATTTGTAAATTCTAACTTACCTATGAATATGCACCTGTGCCTTCCTTACGGGGTGGGCGCTGTTAAGTGAGGAGGAAACTACTTCAAACAAAATTGCCCAGAAATTTCTTTGCCCAGAATTAAGTAGACAAAATTCTTGAGTAAAGTTGATAAATTTACTTCATTTTTCTCTGGAACAGAATGCATTAGTAAATACTTTGTAATGCACTTTATTCTGAAACTGGAAAAGTTGACGTTTGCGCTGCCTGCCTCCACCAGAACCAATAAGTAGAAACAAGGATTGAATCTTTATGGGCACTTTATTCAGATGCCGGCAATCTGTGAAGATGGTATGTTATGTACCCTCAAAAACTTGTCTCAACATTTCATTTCAAGCCAACCTTTTCATAAGGAAAAGAAAGGGTCGGTAAGGGGTTTGGAAAAAAAGGTTAACTGGATAAGAGTTATAGTCCTGCTGTGACTTTTCCTAGTACTTCTTTATCTGTTGATCAACAATCTGCATCACTGGGCGTTCCCTCCCTGGAACACAATGGCTCAGATGTCATCTCCATGCTTGTAGACCCCCTGAGGCACAAAGGTTGAATTGCTTGTTGGAGTTGCACAGTCCTGCATTCCAGTTCCTGTAGTAACAGCTTTCCACAGGCATTAATCACTTAAGCCTGTCAATTATGACTGAAGCTAAAATCTTTAACTCTTGAGTTCACTTCTCATTCCCCTACCTTTAGTTTTTAATCATCTTATTTCTATAAGATTAGTTTAATTGAAGAAATACAAATTAAAACAACCACATTTTCCAACTGGCACTACGTTAGTGTTTTTTGAGGAAAACATTTCTCTGTCCTTTAGAGTTACTATAGGTCCCCAATTATCTTTCCAGAGGAGTACAAATGTGTATAAGACATTAAATGAAAATTTGCTGTAGATTCCAATCCACTTTTCTCATAGTTGGCTTTCTGGAAGGTCCTGTCCTCCAAGTCTTGAGTAGCACCTTATCGCAAGGCTCAAAGGAATTTAGTGAACCCGTTGGGGAGAGATCTCCAATACACGCAGGTCATAGATCACAGCTAAAGTCTGACTTAAATGTTGTACATAGTTCTTTACCTTTGCTTCTTTATCTACATATGATTCCAGGAAAAAAAAATGGATAGTTTTCTGTTATTGATATCCCATTATACTGAATACCGGATGTTTTTCTGATGTATTGGTATTTTACATTCTTTTATAGATACAGGAAAGTCATTCTGTTTTATTGTTGCTGTGGGGTTCTTTTTAGTTGTTTTGTTTTTTAATGTAAAGAGTAAGCAATCAGTGCTTCTGTCCCCTCTGGGAGCGAGGGAGTGGTGGTGATCAGAGTTGCTTACGGCCAAGATGTGTGTAGCAACTGATAGCAGACGTGGAAAGTGAGGCTACATCTTAACTTTGAGGGAAATTTGTTTTAGTGCGTTTTTCTTAAGAGAACTTTTTTGGTAGAGGAGGAAAATGAAGTCATGAAGGAAGGTTGAAGTAGATAGATAGATGAAGAAAAAACAATTTTAAAAAAATCAACCTGATTTGAGTCATGTAATAATTTATGATTTCCTAGTCAGTTTATGTTTTGTAGATGATGGTTTGTTTAACTCTGTCCATATTATCATTTTTTGAAGCTTATAGTAGCTGTTGAACAAGAAGAAATTCCCAGGCTTAAAGCCCTATATGAGAGAGGCCTGCAGAATGGTGTCCAGGGGCTGAAGCTGATCCAGCAAGAGGATATAAAAAAGAAGGAGCCATATTGTAGGGTAAGTGATTCGCTAACTCCACACACATGCTCACAGGGACATTTCCATTTAGGGCTCAGTCTTGTGACATGGAGGCTGGGAGTGAATTTATAGGAGGCAGGAATTGCATAGAAACAGATAGTCCTGTCACAAAAGCAGTGTGTTGACAGACACAAGAGGGCATTGCCACGGACTCTGGATGCCTGATATCTTCTTTCCTTAAGTCATTATGAGAAATGTCCAAACCTGTAGAGAATTTTTATAAGAGCCAAACTGATGACACATGCAAGGGAGCAAGATTTCAAATGCACTGGAAAATAACAGTTTTGCAGCTGTTATGCATTTGAAATTAAGGAAGGAACATGAGGAATATTATATGAAGATGGGAGAAACTAAGGTGGGGATTGGATTACAGGGTAGCTAGCAAAATTATGGGCTCTTTTGAGGGTGGTTACAGCTTATTTCTATGGCCTGTAAAGCTAAATACACAGAAACAATGGACAGGGCTTCTTTAAGGCAAAGACAAACCTTTTACTAAAAAAGTTATACACCTGGGGCATGCATATCCACTATGACCTGCCCAGTTAGGGATTTATGATTAGATCACCCTGTGACGTTACTTCCCATAAAACTCCCTTTTTCACCCACACCTATGAGAAAATATCAGGTCTGAAGAACATAAGCAAAGGCAAGAAGAGGTCTGAGACCATATGACATGTTTGGAAAGCAGTGAGTGGTGAGGTACAGTTGGATCACAGGGTGTATAGGAAGTTTAAAAAGTGAGACTAAAAAGGCAGGATTAGGCTTACATAAAGGGTCTGATATTCGGGCTAATAACTTTGAAGTTTATCCAGTAGGCACAGGAGCCACTGAAAATTTTTGAGGAGAGTGGCTCCAATATCCAGTCTGTATTTAAGGAAGATAAGGCTGGCATAAGTGTGAAGGGTGGATTGTAGAGTATCTTGCTTAAAATGTGCTATCCTTATATTCATGAAAGACATGAATAATAATACCCTGCATATCAACTTTCTTTGTTAGCGGTTCAGAAGCTGTCAGTCCAACCCCAGTTGCAGTGAATGGCTCTATCTCCTGTTCCTTTTCCCCCCACCTTTTCATTGACAATATGCAATAGCTGGACTCCCGGTACCTGTGTTAGAGAGTCTGTGTTTGAACTCACTGCCAGGAAATGCTTAGCAGAAGCTTTTAGTTTAGGCCCTGGCTGGTGTGGCTCAGTGGACTGAGTGCCAGCCTGTGAACCAAAGGGTTGCCGGTTTGATTCTCAGTCAGGGCACATGCCTGTGTTGTGGGCCAGGTCCCCAGAAGGGGGCGCCAGGAGACGGAAATGCATATTGATGTTCCTCTCCCCTTTTCTTCCTCCCTTCCCCTCTGCCTAAAAATAAATAAATAAAATCTTTTTTTAAAAGTACATGCAACTCAATAAGAAAACCAAAAAAAAAAAAAAAAAAAGAAGCTTTTAGTTTAGTCTGAGAGTTTAAGAAAGCCTTCTCAGAGGTGAACCCAGACTTGAAAGATGATTAAATAGTGTAATGTAACTTATAAATAGATATATTCTGCTCTTCTCTGAGGCCTTAGCAGAAGTGATCTACTGTATATAATGCCACATTGTAATTATCAATGCCTATTTAGGGTGACAGTATATAGTAAAAAATGTAGTCTGGTTGTTTCATAAAGGTGTCTTAAATAAATTCCTCCTTTCTCTCCCAACTTGACCACCATTACCAGGAATGGTGGGCAAAATTTGCATAGTACAGGATTACTTTTATTTCTTCCAGGACCTCCAGAAAGAAAAAAGTGTGTTAGGGCAGCTCTAAAGGGCTTCTTGGACTAGATTCCTTTAAGGAGAGATTAAGTACTCCCGGGGGAGCATCTTGGAAATTTTTAAACTGCCTTTGTGAACTTTGGCTTTGGAGGATGGCTCTTGACAGCTCCCTTTCTAGGCAAAGCCTGACTGCTTCTTCAGCCTTTAGCTTAATTGGTCAACCACACGTTCACCTGTGCCTCTATTCTCCTGTCTGACGTCTAACTCCTGGTGTTCACTGGCCTGCTTCCCTAGTTCTCTTCTAGCCATCTGACTTGCTGGGGTCTCAGATTTCAAGCTCTGGCCTGCTAAGCCTGTACAGCACATGCCCAGCTCCTGCCTGGTGGCTGGCCTGTCCACCAGCCCCACCCCGGGCCTGGGTGTTGGATTGCTTGGCGGCAGTGACTCGCTCCACTTTCCCCTGACATACACACATAGGTGGGCCCATCAGCATCTTATGGACAGGGGCAAAGCCAAGACTAGAAAGGGAAGGAAAAGAAGGGAGACCTTTTAGGGGAGGTCTAGACATGGTAAAAGTCTAGTATATTTAAAGACAGCTGTTAAAAAGTTCATTTATTCAATAAATGTTTGAGTGCCTTCTATGTGTCAGGGATTGTGCTGGGTAATAGGAATAGAAAGTGAATAAGGAGGATATTTGGGATTCCAAAAAACTACTGATATGGAGCACTTTTACAGCACATTTTTATCCCTGTGTTACACTTGTCACATAGTTTTATGCTAGGTAAGGAAGTTTTTGTGACTAAACTCTTGGTATAATCCTAATTTAGATTCCAAGATTATTGTACACAAAATACTACTTACAGGTCAAAATTGATTTATAGCTACTGACCTGTGAATTTAGGGATTGTCAGGCCATATAAGGGCTAATATAAAATCTTTATATGTATTTACTATATCAGAACAAAAGGAATGATTTTCTGTACTTGGACAAATGCTCTCATTCTGGAAGCAGATTGTCAGGAAAATGGTGAAGTTTCTCAAATGTTGCTTTCAGTTTGTGAAGAGAGACTGTCAGGTGTTTTGTGAGCCTTTACCTTTAGTGTGATCTGGCCATGTGGCAACATAGATCAGAAGTAGGTAGCTTTGAAAGGATAAGCAGGTAAATGTACTGGGGATAGGGATGGGACACTGAATACAAGAATAAAACATTTCACATAATATTATCAAATATTATTTTAGAACCACAACAATGACAGTTTTGGCTGTGTTGGCCAAACAAGAAGATGGCAGCACTTACCAGTCGCACTCACCTTCTGGGCTTTAGTTATTCTGAGCCAGGCAACCCTCTTAGGGAAGATCTCTTGGGAAAACTAGTATACGCAATATGGCAAGAAAAAAAATGATACTATTACCAAGGATTCCCCAAAGTGTATTCAGTATTTAGTGTATGAAATTCTTTTTTTATCCTTTTCTTCAGAATTAGAAAAGGATACATTATTCTAAAATATTAAATAAGTGTGCTTGTAGATAATTCATATAGAGAGTTTGAACATCTTGGCAAACAAACCAACCACAACGAAGCTCAGGCTGTTAATTTCTCGTATTATCTGAAGAGAAAATTTGAGTTAACCGCATGCAATCTCCATTCAATATTTGCAGGCTTGAAAATAGAGTCTGCGGCAAATCAAATCAATGCTCTGCAAATAAATGAGTAATTCTGGGTTCTCACTGAGTGTGTATGACATATGATCCACTACTGGAAAAATCTCAGTAGAGTTTATTTAAAACTTAATTGTTTGGTGATATAGAATTCAGCTCAGAATCAGATATAAATCAGAATCAGATAGGATGAGGGATGAGTAAAACTGAAAAACTGGTTGTAGCAGCTGGAAGAGCCTGGCAAAATGAGCTCCTTTAAAGAGGATTATTAGCTGATTATAGAGTCTTTCTGATTTAGCTAGTATCATGTGTTATGTATGTTAGGCATTATATATACACACAGACACACACACTCAAATTCAAAGCCACTGGTGGAGCAAGCATTTATTTTTTAATTTTTATTTAGTTTTTAAAAAGATTTTATTTATTTTTAGAGAGAGGGAAAGGGAGGGAGAAAGGGAAAGAAACATCTGTGTGAGAGAGAAAAATTAATCAGTTGCCTCTCACACACGCCTCTACCGGGGACCAAACCCACAACCCAGGCATGTCCCCTGATTGGGAATTGAACCAGCGACCTTTCATTTTGCAGAATGATGCCCAACCGAGCCACACTGGTCAGGGCAAGCCTTTATTTTCTTTTTCTTGAAAACTATCAGATTTTTTGCCAAGAAAGGATAATATGTGTTATCTATCAAAATAAGCAGTAAAAAAGTTCAGTGCAAAATAAAATTTATTGAGCAAACTGTCCTCAGTGATTTTAATTGCATTGTCTTGACTTTTTTCATAATCTTGTCCCAGGGTCTAATGGCTATTGATTGCCCATATACCGGCATTGTAGACTACCGTCAGGTGGCTTTGTCATTTGCCCAGGATTTCCAAGAAGCAGGTGGCTCTGTCTTGACCAATTTTGAAGTAAAAGATATTGAAATGGCTAGAGAAAGTCCTTCAAGCAGTGAAGATGGTAAGCCATCCTTGTCTTTTTTTTTTTCAATTGACTTGTATTGAGTTCTGAACAAATCTGGGACAGCTTTTGGCTGGGCTAATGCTGGTGGAGGTCCACCAGGAGCTGGGCCAGAGTAGGGTGCAGAGCTGGAGGCAGGCACAGAGCTGGAGGCAGGTGCAGAGGGGAGGGTTGGACACGGGCGAACTGGGACTTCCAGTGGGCCTTGCTGGAACTGGGCACTGATCCAAAACCTGAGCTGCCAAAGGCTGATTGGTGCCAAAACCTGAGCTGCCAAGGCTGTTTGTATAAAATTAGTCCCCAAACACTTCTTTATCCTGTTGGTTAGAGTCAGAATCCCTTGGGGATGTTTGTTAAAAAAGCAGACTTCAGCATCTCCCAGTCTTACTGAATCAGACTGTCTGGGGATACGGTATGACTTAGCCATTCTGAACTGCCCCTTTTGAGGAAACACTATAAAAAATTGAAGTGAATCCGTTTTTAAATTTTGAATTGCTTTTGGGAAATTTGAATGAGGACAATAGTAGTGCTGCATTTATTTTTCCTTGACAGTTTTCTTTAGATTTTGGCCATCTGAATCATTCTCCCAGTGTCCTACTAAATTCTAAGATGATGAGCAAAATTGTTAAATGAGATTGTTATAGGTAGGTGGCATAATCAATCAAATCAACATTTGGACAAGTGTCATAGCATTCTACCTGTGGGAAAATACATACTGATTTTTGATGATACACATTACAACATGGTTTCTAGGTCTGTAGTTCAGAGAAAAGCTGGGAATCCCTATGTTGGAGCTAAGTTGGGAAAGCTTTATAAGTATAGATTAAATGAATTCATATAAAATAATCTAAAAACATGCCAGAGTTTTACATATTGTCAAATATGAACTAGTGTTATCTTGTTATTGGTAAAAGCTTCAGAATGAAATGTGGGAAGTAATCATGGCTGTGACAGAAGAAACTCACTTAAATCTGTTACTAGTATATTTCAAACACTGTAGGTCTTCTTTTACTAAAAATAAATATTTCACTAATTTCTTTTTTACAGGGATGAAATATCCAATTGTTATAAGGAATACAAAGGTAAAGATTCTTAAGCAAAACTACTTCCATCTATTTTATTTACTTTCATCCCTTCTCCTTTCTTAAACAGTTGAATTAACCACAGTAGTGTATTTTATGTCACTGAATGCTGTCTAATGTAAATTTATTCTGAGAGAAATTCTTTGAGAGCAGTGTAATAGTTTTCATTCTAAGAAGGGTTTCCTCTTGGAAATGTATTCATATAGGGATAGTGCTGGCAAAGAATAAGATTATAAATACTTGGAGTGTTTCATTTTAAGGCAAAACTGATAGATATTTTATTGTTCTACCTGTTCACCTACCTTATTAACTCTACTAATGAGAAAACTTGGGCGGGAAGAACAGCACAGTTTGCAAAGAGGGAGATGTCCTGCTTTCCTTCATCTTCACATGATCTAAAACAGGACTGGTGAATGGCATTTGCTGTGTGTTCACTGAATGATCAGAGTACAGTCAGGAGAGAAGAGGCATTAATGGGTGTCATAGGATTTATTGCAGGAATTAGGCCTTACATAATTGTGAAAGGATCTGGGGAAGCAAAGGTTCAGAAGGAGAGCTGGTATGTCAGAGGTGTATCTAACCAGTCTAAGTAGCCAAGTGGATCCAGTTGAAGTAGAACTGCAAAGGAGAAGCTCATGAGGGGTTCTCGGGGGAGCTCTTGCCTGTGTGTTCACAGCCAAGTAGTAGACTTGAGCAGTGGTTTGTTAGTAAGATTAGTATGTGGGAAGCAGAGCTGGATACAGAGCATAAATTCATTTGGCAGTGGGTGTTGGTCACCACCTTGAACTAGAATAACCTTCAAAAAATAATGGTTGTTGCTTTACTTCTACCTACCAGATCACATGCAATTCCTGTTTTGGTCAACTTTAAGTTGGAACCGTTCAGGGAAGGGGGTCCAGTTTAACTAAATTGACACAGGATAAACCCTCACAGTCTATCCCTTTTCTACTTGGCCTCCATTCACAACCCTTATAACCACATTTCACTTCCAAATACAGTAACATTATGCTTCTACCTACAAGGTTCAACTATCTTTCATACAGCTGGAGACACGCTTACTACCGTAACAGAATGCCATAGGCTTAAACCACAGAAACTTATTTTGTCACAGTTCTGGAGGCTAGAAGTCTAAGATCAAGTTGACACCAGGGTTGATTTCTGGTGAGAGCTCTTATGGCTTTTTGGTGGCTGCCCTCTTACCATGTCCTCACATGGTCTCTTCTCTATGTGTGCTCAGGTGGAGTGGGAGAGAGGGAGGGAGAGACAGAGAGTAGGAGAGAGGAAGAGTGGGGAAAGAGAGAATGTGAAAATGTGAGCACGCGCAATTTTTGGTTTCTCTTTCTCTTATAAGAACACCAGTCCTATCATATTAGGGCTTCACTCTTGTGACCTCATTTAACCTTAATTACCTCCCTAAAGGCTCTATCTCCAAATATAGTCACATTGGGAGTCAAGGCTTCAACATATGAATTTTTTGTGGGAGGAGGGACACAATTCATTTTATAACAATGAGGGAAAAAAAGAATTATGTAATTATAGACAATATATTTCACAGTGAGGAAGAAATAACTACTGCATTTCTCATAAATGCTGCATTCCTCATTTTTGTCACCAATCATGTGGTCATAGCTGATATTTATAATTTCCTTCTTCTACTATCCATTCTATAGCCCCTTGACCTGTGGCAAGCATCGCAGCTGGTCAGGGTTCCTAGTGTGGTGCGGTAACTCAAACTTTTATTCCTGAAGTGTCTCTGCCATTAGCAGCCCTGCCTGTTTTGTGTTGTGGTGGTTTCCACAACTTTTATAACAGTGCATGGGATACTAAGAGAGAGCTCAGGAGATCTCTTTTCCAGACATACTCTTTATCACCCCCAGGCTGTCTGTGTGGTAGTAACTTGATTTCTCCTTGCAAGTCAGGATCAGTTACCCCCATTCAGTACAGTAATCTTCTCCACCTGTTGATTCACTGGCATGAGGAACCCAAAGTGGCTAAGTGTGACAGTATTGACTTCTAGCATAATGGAACAATTGTTTATTCTCTAATGGAAGCATTTCTCCCTTGGGAACTGGGAACTAAGACTTCTAAACCATTAGAGCCCAAAGTTGTGCTAAGAAATAGAAATTTGGATTAGGAGCAGAACCTAGTGGGTTATTGTAAGGAGCTCCTTCCATTTCTCCCTCTTAATTTCCAGAGCTCTGAATCCTGGCTGTGGGAGAAACAATTCTATATGTTAGTTGCTGATTTAGAGCATATAGGGCGTTCTGGAAGACATTGCCCCAGCCCTGCAAGGTGTTGCCAGCCAGCTAGTACTGTTATTGAGTCTACTTTGTCACCTAGCAGCTTCAGGATGATGGGGGAAATGATAAAAATCAGTGAATTCCACAAGCATGAGCCTATTGTTACACTTCATTTACTGTAAAATAAGCTCTCTGATCAGAAGTAATGCTTCTGGGTAAAATACCTAATGTTGAGTAAGGCATCCTGTAAGTTCAGAGACGGCGGTTTCTGCAGAAGCACTGTGGGCAGGGAAGAGAAATCTATAGCCAGAGCAAGTGTCTATTCCAGCGAGGACTAAGTGCTGCCCACCCCCCTTTTTTAATCCTCACCAGAGGACATGCTTATTGATTTTAGAGAGAGGGGAAGGGAAGGAGAAAACAAAGGGAGAGAAACATTGATGTGAGAGAGACTCATCAATTGGTTGTCTTTCACTTGCACCCTGGCCAGAGGTCAAACCCACAGCCCACATATGTGCCCTGGCCGGGAATCAAACCTGCAAGCTTTAGGTTTATAGGATGACACTCTGACCAACTGAGCCACACCAGCCAGCCCTCCCGCCTTTTTTAAAATTGAAGTGGTCCAGGGATCACATCAGTATATCTCTATTGACCTACACCGTTGGGACAGGGAGCATTCAGCAGTGGCTATGGACACATCAGCCTTAGTGAGTAAGTCCATCTTACTGAGCCCACATGTCACCTCCATCCTTGCTGCCATTACCATTTTCATTTGTGAAGCCACTGGGTAAGGACAGGGGTGGCTGGGGGAAAAGGCTAATGTTCACACAGCAGGTCATCTTGCCTACTGATTATTAAAATCATCTTCTGCCCCAGCTACTCTTCAGTGAGCATTCCTATAGAATTTAAATATTTTTACCCTCCGAGCCTGTTTGGAGAGGTCCATTCACATACCTCTTCTTCAGAGCTCCTTTACCTGACCATCCAGCCCAACCATTAGTCATTGCACATGAAACTGTAGATCCATACTTCTAGCCATCTCTATAGGTGAGGTAGATGCCTAGTATAGTGTTCACAGTTCCGCCTTCTGGGAGCATTTCCCTTCACCACAGCCATTCAGGGCCACTGCCAAGTGGAGCTCTGGTGCTGTCGCGGTTTACTTTCAAATGGTGCCAGTGTGTTGTGCAGAACCATTTGTGAACCAGGCCTCTACTTTTGCTTCCCTTCCTTGCCCAAATGATTATAGAGAATGTCCCATGGGGCCTCAGGGGCAAGTTGAAAGGGAAGAGGTAATTTAGTTGGAGTAGGGGTCGTGGGAATTTGAGCCACTTGCCTCTGCAACTTATCTGTGCCTGCAGGACCTATACAACCCTGATCTTGTATATTCTACTTCCTCTTGATGACAGAGTGCTGCTGTACACACCCAATTTTGTGGCTTGGTGAGTCAGACAATACCCTTTTAATAATGGGTAGTTCACATGGTAACTTGGTGGCCTGTGGTCAAGTGTTGAGTCAAAGCCAGAAGCACTTTCTCAAAAGGAAGATAATTATCTGCAGAGAATGGTATAACCTTCCTCCAATTTCCTAAAGTTTTGAGCTCTGATTTCACCTATAGAGGCCTATCAGAGTCTCCATGAAACATCACTGTCTGTCATAGACACTTGGATTACCATCAGGTCTGCTGGCAGAGCAACCAGGGTTTCCATTCAGAGAAGGATTAAAAGTCTGTTTCTGCCCCTACCCTCATCTAAGCGGTATTTTCATGAGAGTATGGCATCATAGGATGGAAGATGTGCAGGGGCTATGAGATTCCAATGGATACATGTTTTACTCACAGTCACTATCATTGTTGCCTTTTATTTTGGCATTTCCTTTAGTATAGTTAAATGATCACTTAAAAATGTGTGTCAGCTTATCAAGTTGAACATCTCTGCTTTTATGAGGCTAAAAGAAAAGGAATTTTTAAAAGAAACTTTGAGGGAGAGGAAAAGTCTGTTTCACTTATGGAAAAGTAATAGAGATGCATAGTTTAATTTTTTAAAGAAATATATTTTGTAACAAATGTATGTTTCAGTGCTTACCTAAATTTTCATTTTGAATGTGAAATTAATGTGTCACTAAATTTAATTATTGTTTCATATATAACGTAAGGTGATTTCAGAGTCCTGTGACAGTTTTTAATCATTTCTTTGTTTGGAACTTATCTACATTTTATGTTAAGAATAAAAGAATTGCTGACATTTCAAGTAACAACTAGTAGATGTATATCACATAAAAATATTAATATTTCTTGTACTTCTGGTGTACCACTCTAGATGAACAGAGATTATCTAGAAAAGATATTAACCAATTTAGAAGAAGTTCATGTTTGTTGTTGTTGATGTAGCCCTTTGACTTCAAGGGTCTAAAAACTATCATGGTTTCGTATAGTTCACTTGAACTCACTGCAAAGAAGTTTCATCTGATTTTTGTCAGAAGTGTGACTGGAACTCTTTGAAAGAGGCTTACCTTTGTATCTACACAAAAATTGGATGCATACAGAGATAGAGTAAGGCTGAATCATACAGAAATAGAGTAAGGCTGAATCACCAAGGGCTGAAAAGAAAGAATGTTGAGATAAGTGAGCACTCCAAGGCTTCAGAAACAGATCATCTCGGGAGGAAATCTAAGAACAAGAAATTACCTGGAGCAAGGAGATACTAATTGTTTACTGTGTAAGAAGTAGAGAGATGATAATTGGAGTATGATGGCAAATCTTGGTTAAATGAAGTTATTTAGGAAATAGAGTGGTAAATTGGCTAATCCGAGCAGGGTTAATCGAAGAATATGTACACGATAATCACAAAATAAAATTTATGGGAAAATACAGCAGCCTAAGATTAGCAGCCTCCTAGTTGTTAAAGGAAACTTTGACTGTAGTGTGTGTCTTCAGTAAACGTGGATTGATTGAGTGGTGTTTTGAAAGTAACCTCAGTTTGCAAAGTAGATATTGATCAGGAAGGAGAAATTGTTTGGTGGTGGTTTACAGTTGTAGTGTGAAGCAACCTAAGAGTAAAAGAATAATTACTCATAGATAAGACAGGAGAAACTATCTGAAATACAGAGGGAGCCAAACTGGTGGGGGCCATCTAAATGAAGTTTGCTCCTGCCCTGGCCGGATTAGAATGTCGTCCTGATATGCCAAGGTTGCAAGTTTGATCTCCTGTCAGGGCACATACAAGAAGCAACCAATGAGTGCATAAGTAAGTGAAGCAACAAATCAATGTCTCCTCCTCTTCCTCTCTCTCTCTAAAAATCAATAAAAAATAAAAGTATTAAATGAAGTTTGCCACTTTGCTCAATAAATAGTTAAGCTCCATGGTCTTGGGGGGGGGGGGAGAGAGAGAGTGAGTGAGTGAGTGTGTGTGTGTGTGTGTGTGTGTGTGTTTAGGGTATCCTTACTAGGTAGGTCAACCATTGAATCCCTAATTTAAAGTATGAAATTTAAGGTGACACCCTCTTACATGCCACTACTCTAAGTTTCTAGCTGCCACCTAAATGCTGAAGAATTTATTTTGCTGATACTTGCATTTAATTTCCTCTTTCATAAGGAATAAAAAGAAAAAAGTCCCTTTCTGTATCCTTATTGTCTCTTCTACATCTGTTTTTCTGCCCTTGACCTATTCTTCTGCAATCTGCTTCCTATAAATTACTGTTCTTTTCTTTTGCACTAGGGAGAGGAAGTTCAATGTCAGTATGTTGTGACATGCGCAGGACTTTATTCAGACCGTATTTCTGAGTTGAGTGGCTGCAATCCCGATCCACAGATTGTACCATTCCGGGGAGATTACCTGCTCTTGAAGCCAGAAAAATGCTATCTTGTGAAAGGAAATATTTACCCGGTAGGTATACTGTTTTTGTTTCCTCATGCTGCTCAAGATGATGGTGGGCAGAAAGGGAATGAACCAAAAACTTTTATCTGGGTCAGAAGAGAGGTATTTTGGAGAGCTTTTTGTGCAAGCATTTTGCCTCTTTCTTTTATGGTTAAATTCCTAAATCTTTATTCTGATATCATAGTCCTTTAGTTATACTTAATTGCCCAGAAGTACATGTCTTTAGAAAGCATGAGTGTTCCATGTGAAGGACTATCAGGAAAGAACGTGATTCCTCCTTCCTGTCTGGTGGAAGGAGCACTCATAAGAGAACTTTGACTTTTTGCATGCCCAGACGCACTACCCTCTCCCTCAGTTCCCTCCCTGTAGGTGCAGCAAGGGGTTGTGGGCACTCTGTAGGTTCATGATGTAGAAGACAGAGCCCTTCAAATGAAGAATTTATTCTGTATGGAACTACTAGGTTGAACTAGATGAAATTACTGATATTCAGCTACTTAACGTTTTTGACCTTTCCAAAGCATCCATTTCATGTGCTCCAACTCAGTGCATTCCAACTTTACAGAAACCTGTGCTACAAATGGGTGTTTTTCTGGCAGCTCTGGTTTTACTTGCCAGCCACATACATCCCTAGTTGGGGGTAGGGTGGGAGGGCAGGTCAGGGAATAACCTGAAGTAGGACAGTTTCTTTCTTCTTTACCCAGAAAGAAGAATAGATGGGAGTGTGTGTTAGTGTCAATAGCATCAGTGTTTTCTATGTGGCATTTCTAGGCAGAAGCATGCAAGTGGAAAAGCATATCTCAGTACAGATCAAAATAATACAAATTAAATGCATGGGAAGAAACTGATCTACGTTACCTGTTGAATATTTGCATGCATAATAAATGCAGTATGAAATGGGGCTAACAGTTCTTTGCTGTGTTAAATCCATAGGTCCCAGATAGCCGGTTTCCTTTCCTAGGAGTTCACTTCACGCCAAGGATGGATGGCAGTATTTGGCTAGGGCCTAATGCAGTTCTTGCCTTTAAACGAGAGGGCTATAAACCCTTTGACTTCAGTGCCAGAGATATTACGGATATAATCACCAAGAGGTAACTTTATTTACCTCAAAAATGATTTCACGTGTGTATATTTTTAATGTGGGAAATTTTGTCTTTCTTGAGATTCTATTTTTGGGTAAATCCTCACATTTGTGATTAATATATTGATTTTTTAAATTAACCTGAATTAAGAGCTTTATGGAATAAGTATATTGTTTTAACTACTTTAAGAAAATTCTGATGATCCACGGTGAGGTCTTGGTTAAAAAGAACAAGACCAGTCACGTATCTGACAATCTAAACCTTGTTTTGCTAACCTTCTAATTGCTTTTGAAAACAAAAAAAGTTTCAAAATTAGTAGATGGCTTACTTTGATAAAGTCATTTCAAGCTAGTCACCACTGTCATTTTGAAAAGCACTGGAGAAGCTGTTGAAACCAAAGTTGTTTCCTATTGTGGAAAACTAACAATGTACTCACCTGGGATGCAGATTCTTTACTAACGTTAAGAACTCAGTGAGGGGTTTTTTGCTTTGTTTTGTGTTTTGCTTTGGTCTTTCTAGCTGTTTTGCTTTCCAGAGGGTTTCACATCAAAATTACTAGAAAGCTTTTCAAGCTGTACTGGAGTTTCACCTTCTACAGAGTCTGAAACAGAAGGTGTAGGGTGGATTTTTTGAACATGAGTGCTTTTAAAAATTCACATATACGTAGGCTCCACAGAGTCTCGCTTGAGAATCACTACTTAAGTATCTTACCTCTGGCTGATTAAAAAAAAAAGTAGGATATATATGTACCTCTCTTCTCAAATGTCCCGATTTAAAGATCTGCTAGTGCTTTTTAGGTGTGTTTTGAAAGCATGGAACATTTGTATGAGAAAGCCATTTTGTTGGCAGGCTTTATAGAGTTCTAGTTTGAAACCAGCATTCCCTGGTATTTTTGAGTTTGCAGTGTGTTTACCTTTGGACTTTGGAAGCTATCCCTTTGATGAAGCTTCCTTCTTATATTGGCCAAAGTTGATGTTCTTTTAATATGTGGTTTTTCCTCTTTTTGCATAAATTTCTGGAATGCCCACTGCCCAGATCTAAAAGTATTTAATAGTAAGAAAGAATTTCTTTCTCTCCTATAAAGATTTCACTTTCTTTGCTTTCAGTGGCTTGATTAAACTGGTGTTCCAGAATTTCTCCTATGGAGTCAATGAAATGTATAGAGCCTGTTTCCTTAGTGCGACAGTGAAGCACCTTCAAAAGTTTATCCCTGAAATTACCGTCGATGATATACTTAGGTAAGGAAGAGCCATCAAGATTGTAAATACAGTCATGACTTAGGTGAACTTGGGAGGTGGGTCTGACTTGGTGATTCATAGGCACTCGTTAGAGTGTCTACTGAACCTTTGTGTGTTCTCTCTTTTCCAACAAGTTGTTGATATTTGTTTGCAGTTCATGAGCTGGGCATTGCTGCATCATGCCTTAGCACTTGAACTATGCCTACCATTTATAATTACCTAGCCTGCCTTACAGAATTAACCTGAAATCTCTATTGCGGCTATATTGCCACCTTCGACTTTGTGTCTAGCTATCACTCATGATAAAAACATCTTGTCTGAAATTTAAAATCTACCTGGCTTCTGCCTCTTATGATTATAAAGCCTTTTGACTTTAATTTTATGTATAAGGTCAATGATCACTATATTAACTAATTAGATAATAAACACATTAAAACCTTCTATTTTGATTGATTCTTAAAGCCTTTTAGAAACACACTTCTTTCTCGGCAATGTACCTTGCTTCTTCTCTATATGTTTTCTTTCTTTTTTGGATCTTACTCTAACTTCTCTATTTTTTTTTTTTTTCTGTTTTGGGTTTTACTTCTTACTCTGCAGGACAGTTAGTGAGGTAACCATCAGCCTGAGTCCTTGTTACAGAGGTAACAAGGAAGTGGGGCAAAGGAAGGATTACTTTAAAAACATTTTTTTTTCTTAACCGTAAAAGGCTTTCTGGACTTGATCTGTAAATTGTTCTAAATACTACGCAAGCCTATTTACTTTTCTCTTTAGCGGTATTTTTAGGGTGTTCACCCTTTTCCCTGAACAAGCCATTTGTTAGGCCTAATCAGGAATGTACTTTGAGGTACTCTCTGTCCATGAATCCATCCCTTGAATCTCTAGAGACCTAAGCGTCTGTCGCCTCAGTAACAGCTGCTGAACTTGCCTGGTGTAAAATGTCAGCAGCTTGACTCTGTATCTGGGAAGAGAGCAATAGTCATGTCAGCTGTCTCCCTTAGGGGAGCGTCCTGGTCTAAATCTGACTAATATATCATTCTCAGACCAGCCTCTTTGAATCCTTAGAAGGACTGTTAAAACCAAGCTAATGTTTTTACCCGTATCTCTCTCACTCCTCTACTTACCTTCTGAAATGGAAGTGATAAAAATATCTAGGCTTTATTTTCTTTCATTCACCTATAAATAAAGGCTTTTATGTTTTCAGTGGCCTCCGTTAGCAGACCTGTTATGTTTTCTCTCTGAAAATAGGTTGGTCAAATCTGGTGTTTGTTACTGCTATTAATACTCCTTGGAAAATATAATAAGTTGGGATAGCGAAATATGTGTATAAACAGTTGCAGTGAATTCACTCCTCATATTCGCTTACCACCCTTTTTGTAGAAGCCTGAGGAAAGCTCTTTAGACCAGTGGATTTCATATGGTAGAACTGGACCGGGGCTTGAGGGTTTTGGTGAACACTCCTTTGTTTCTGCGTGTAAGGGTGTCGATTTCAGTTACCAGTTTCATTAGCATGTAGTAGAGAAGGGTACACAGTACTGTAAGCAGGTGCATTTGGGGATAAATTCAATCCAATCACAGATGAGTTTCTCTTTGGAGATAGAGAAACTGAACATATTTAGCAATTCCATATACTCCTTCCCTTTTATTCTATTCATATAGCTAGTAAAATGGGAAATTATCAGTAACAAAAAGGAAGTTGTAGAAGATCTGTTTGATACTATTTATATGTTTAATAATACTATATATTATTTATGGATCTCATATGTAATGTGAAAATAGAAACAAGTATAGTGATAAACACCTAATTCAGGAGAGTGGTTACCTCTGGGGAGAGAAAGGAACGAGATCCAGAGAGTTCTACAGAAGGCTATTATCATCTATAATGCTTTATTTCTTAAGCTGGTTGGTAAGAAAATAGGTGTTCATTATATTATTCTCTGTACCTTGTCATATGTCTGAAATATTAAATAATAATAACAAAAAAAGAGCAATAGATTTTCCCACATTTTGAAACCCAATTCTTGCATATCTTGCAACCCACTGTAGTAAAACCATTAAGGCTCTATCATTAATATTGAGGCAGAAGCATATTAAGCAGTTTTAGATAGTAAAAGAGAATGGAAGCAACACTTCTAGTGGGATATTAAGCTCAGGATGATGTTCTTAAATTGTAGTAATGACCAGTGGGCTTCCACTTGACTTCTCATTGCCTATGCAGAGCATCTTAGGCGATAACTTACTGGTGAACATTAGATTGGAATGTAAAGTTATAATCTGTCAAATATATTCATTAGATATACAAACTTCTCACTGTTAAATCATGATCTCTAAGGCTCTTAATTTTAGCTCTAAAGTCCTTTAATTTGTTCTGTGATTAATTTTGTATGATAATCTAACAGCAGTGTGTATCCGCAAGCATTGTAGGGATGTGAAAGATCCCTGTAGGGATATGAAGACATATATGCCAAAATCTCCTTTTTTCCCACTCTTCACTTTGGAAAATTTCTTATTTGGGGAATTCTAGAATAAAATTTTAGGCAAGATATTTTCATCATGAGTGATAGCTAAAGACTCTACTGTGTCATCGTGAAATGCAAAGATGAAAGCCAAGCATTCCTACAGTAAAGGTGGTCTAGACCAAGGTTTGTCAGTCTTGGCACTATTGACATTTTGGGCCAAATAATCCTTTGCTGTGGGAGACTGTCTAATTCATTGGAAGATGTTCAGCAGCATCCCTGACCTCTGCTGACTAGAAGACAGCAGTACTCCCTTAGTTGTGGCAACCAAAAATATCTCCAGACATTGCCAAATGTCCTCTAGGGGGCAAAGTCTCACTTGGTTGAAAACCACTAATCTAGGGAATTTGGTAACCCTCACACTACAAGACACTAAGAGAATCTGGAGAAAATATAATAAAAATCCTTTGAAATGCATATAGCTGAGCATCCACAAAAGTAAGGGGCATCCCAGGAGCAAAAATGAAATGGAAATTGAAAATCCAAATACCAAAAGAAATTGGTGCTGATGCTGTTCTGGAGGAGTGAAGAGGATTTGCTAATTTTTATATAAATATAACTGAGTTTTATTTTTAATTGCTTTGTGATTTACATACAGTAAAATAATGCAGATCTTAAGTTTTCAGTGAATTTTGACAATTGTATAAACCAGTGATTTTCAACCGGTGTGCTACAAGAGGCATATAGTTGTGCCTCAAGAATATTTAAAATATGTAATACCTGGCTATTTAGGGGCACTGACCTCTTTTCCCTTAAAATGTCAGGTAAAAAAATGACAGCAGCCAACACAACAATGGCCACCTGGTGTAAATAAATCAAAGTTATATGTATTATTTTTGTTAGGTTGGCAAAAAGCACTTTTTTGGTGTGCTGAAGAATTTTAGTAATTAATGTGTACCATGGAATGAAAAACATTGAAAATTGTTGGTATAACCTCATCAATCATCAACACAAAACAAGATATAAAACATTAGGGACTTGTATTTTAAATGCTACTCAAGTGCTGGAAAGGAGACCTTGTGTCTGTAAAAGAAAAAATTTGGAACTGAGACCTGTGTAATCATCCAGCGACTCTTGAAGGACTGACACCCTCTGTGAAAAGGAAGTCTTAAAAAAAAAAATTCCTCTTGGTACCAGGAAGTATTAAGGAATTTTGTCTGTCCCAGTCTTGAGGGAAGGAAAGGGTGGGGGGCAGGGGGGTAGGGGGCATATTTGGTGGGTGGGGAGGGGAGAATCTCCTAAAAATCTAGAACCACTCAGCTTGATCTAGGAACTTCATACTGAGAAATTAATTTAAAAAGTAGGTCTAGACTTGCTCAGATTTTACTTCAAACTATTTCTCCCTTTCTCACTTTAAACATGAGAGAGAGAAAGAGAGAGAGAATCAGGGTAATTTGACCACAGACTGAATATTGATGATACTAAACAATGATTAGTTTTTAAAATTATTTTAAGAATCCTTTTCAAAGAAATATACATTGCAGTGAAATGATGTGCCATCTGGGATTTGCTTTAAAATAATCCAGTGGAGAGAGGTAGACAGTAAGTGGATATCTAAATAAAGCATGATCAGCTGTGTTGATTATTATTGAATCTGGACAATACATACATGGGAGTTCATTTTATTTTTGTACATGTTGAAAAAAATCCATTAATAAAGTGTCCCTAGGGTGGTAATACCCCTGGAGCACCTGATAGAAGCAAATGTGAAACCTCTGTGCAGGGACAGAACCTCAGCCCAGCCCCCACAGTATTCCCCCAATCAAGTCCTGCTGAACAGAAATTCACCCTCAAAAGTTACGAAATACTGTAAGGAAGAGTAAGCAGATAGAATAAAAACCAGAATTAGACTGCTCATAACTTTAGGTACTATTACTATTCTATTAGAAACCATAAAGTAATATGCATCAGTGGATTAAAAACAAAAAGGAATGGAAGACAGGAAACATGAATAAGACAAAAAAAAAAAACCCCAAAAAACCCTAGGTAAATTTGGAAACCAACTAATTAGAATTTCTAGAAATTAAAAATATAGTTCTTAAATTTTGCTATTATTACTATTTTTAGTCCTCACCCAAATATATATTTATTGATCTTGTGAGAGGAAAGGAGAGGGAGAGTGGGAGGGAAGAAGGGGGAGGGAGAGAGAAACATCAATGTGAGAAAGAAACATCGATTAGATTTAGTTGCCTCCCATTCAGGCAGCAACTGGGGATCCGATGGACTGGCAGCCTAAATATGTGCCCTAACTGGATTCAAACCCACGACATTTTGGTGCTTGGGACAATTCTCCCACCAGCTGAGTCACCCAAGCAGGACTAGTTCTTAAATTTTAAAACTCAAATGACTAAGATAACTGGTTAGACCCTAAGAGAAAATTAGTAAACTAAAATCTGAAGAATTTAGAGAATGATGTTGCAAGATAAAGATGCATCATGTGGATATTAAAAGACATAGAGAAGAAAATGAGAAGGTTCCAGCCTACATCTCATAGAAGTTCCAGAGAAATTGAAAAGAGGCAGTACTTTGAAGAGTATTTGAGAATTTCCTAGAGTTGACAAAAAGACAAAATTCAGGATGCACAGGGAGTCTACTCTAAATAAATAAAACGAAGTGCAAGAATGTAAATAGAAATATAACTTCCAAGTCAGTAAAGAGGAGAAAAGAATATAGAAAACCCAGTAAGTCAAGAAAGGAGATGGAAAAACCTCAGTAATATGGTAGAAATCAAACATAACAGTAATTTCAATAAATGTAAATGTACTTACCAGTTAATATGGAGATTGTCAGGTTGGATTAAAAAAATCCATCTATGTGCTCTGCAAATGCTTATTAGAAGAAAGATGAATAGTGGGTTCATTTCAGATAAAATATACCATAAGGCAAAAATTATTATTAGAGATAAAGAGGGTCACCATAAACATTGTGTATAATACAAAATACAGAAAACAAAAACTGACATAACTGCAAGCAGAAATCAACAAATCCATAACTGGTGGATGGTTTTAAGACATGTCTATTGATCGAAGAGACTAGGCAGATAAAATGTAGATTTGAATAACACTTGATTTAGCTGATTCATAGAACTCCCCTACCCCCATTACAGAATACTTGCGTTATTCAAACCCTACAAAACATCAAAGGCTCAAAAAGTTCTAACCCCTAAACCAAGTTCTTAACAGAATTCAGAAATTAGTCATAGAAAAACCAAGTTCTCTTGTCACGTTCCAGTAAGGTTGACAACTAGAAGCCAAAATACCCTTCCTTTATGCTTGGAAATTAAGATGGAATGGTTTGCTTTCTCCATGCTACCATTCCCAGTTTAAATATGCTCATGTGAACATCTATTTTTAGATGATTAGATCCCTTGGTGAGTTTTATAAAATACTAAATTGGCCTATTTGGAACTGGCCAAAGATCTTAGTTGTAGCCTGTCATCACTGTTTTCTCGCCCACAGGATAATGCCTGCTACAGAACAATAAAACAATAATTACAGTGCTTCTCAGATGACTGATGCCATTAGTTATATGCTCACCTGTTGTTTCTGGATATATTTAAAGTGTAGGATGTATACTCCCATTAAATTTAGCTACCAATGTAGTAAAAATACATGGCTATGAAAAACACTAAACAATTAAATGTAGCTAAATCGAAAAATGTTAAATTTGCTGAATTATTTGTTCTTTCAGCTACTGAAATAGAATTTTTAAAAATTAGAAGTAAAAAAATTAAAATTTTCTAGCCTTATTGAATATTTACTGTGTATAAAGAACATGTCTAAACATGGGGGTGATATAGGTGTGTTGTGCAAGATGCCGTCCTGGCAACTCAAGACATTTATGGTTTTCTTAGCTGAAATTTCAAATTATAACACTCATCTCAAGCTGAAGTATTCTGAGGGGAAATGTCTATATGTAATCATGCAAAGAAAAACCCTAAAGTTGCATTAAGTGCTGAATAGGGAACTGAAGAATTTGGTAGTTTAACCATTTCATGTTAAATAGCTACTTTAGTTTGAACTAAAGTAAGATCCTTAGAAAAACTTAATATTGTATAGTTTTTTACAGTTTGGATTATAGGTCTTGAACACATGGGCAGGAATGTAGGGGCCATTGAGAACATAATTAGTGTTTGTAAGCAAAAATAAAAAGTATATACTTTTTTTAAATTTTTTATTTATTTTTAGAGAGGGGAATGGAGGGAGAAAGAGAGGGGGAGAAAGAGAGGGAGAGAAACATCAATGAGTGGTTGCGTCTCGTCAGCCCCCTACCCCGGACCTGGCCCGCAACCCAGGCATGTGCCCTAGACTGAGAATCGAACTTGCGGCCCTTTGGTTCGCAGGCTGGCACTCAGTCCACTGAGCCACACCAGCCAGGGCAGTAGATAAATTTTTAACTGTCGTTAATTACTATTAACTTCTCTTTGTTTAGAAGGAGTAAGGGGAATGTACTAACATAACCTTGTTCAAAGGAAAATTTTATTTTGAACACTCAACATTGGTGACTGGTCATGCACCTGTGTATCCCTTACATGTCGGTATTCTGTTAGATAAAAGGAGAGAGACAAGTAACTCGTAGAGATACTCTCAATAGAAACGGCAGCACTGTCCAAGAAAAGGGGAGAAATGCTGCTTTGGTGAGTTGAGGTAGGATACGAATACAGAATGTAGAAAATGGCTGATACACTGCTATGTATCTTTAGCCAAAGAAATTTTCAGCTTCAGTCCCTTTCTGTCTTGTGTTCTGATTCCTACTTGGAAATCCTTACAGCTCAAAAATCTCTTGTCCAGATTGTCTGCAGGCAGATAATTTACCTTTATTGTAGAACCTTTCACCCTTGTAATCTGTATTTACCTCTTTATAAATGAACTTAAGGCAAGTTACATAATCACTGTGTGTTTTGTCACTGTTAAATATAAACTATATCAGCCTGTTAGAGTTGTTGTAAGGATTAAAGGAGAAAATTCCTAACAAAAGGGTAAGCACTTGGTAAGTAATATCTATTATTATTATCTCTTCTCAGCCAGGCTGAGGTCTTAGAGGGCTGTGCTCCCATATTGTTCTTTGTGTAATATCTTCCTCAAGTACTTATCTGCATTGGTCCATAATCAGTAAAAATGTTTAATGTTGTTGCCTGATACCTTGAGTTTTGGTGGTGTGTATAAGGCAGTTGTTTTCAAACTGTTTTCTTGAGCAGAGTCAATGAAGGTGCTTTTAGATTTAAAAATTTTTTAATTCAAATTTTATCTGTAAATTTTTAAATTATTTTAAAAACAAAAACTCTAATTTGTAAGCTCAAGTGTTATAAAACAGAACTTTTAGTAATAAAGGTTCTTACTGTATTAGCATACTTTCAAATTAATTCATTTTTGTCTTTATCCTGTCTTGTTTAATCAATTGAAGGTTATCTGCTATTGAAGGCTAACCTGTTAAAAATTAAAACAAACTACAAAACAAGAACTTGCTGCCATTTGCAAATGTTTTTCTTCATAAATTTTACTAGTGTGCAATCAAAGCAAAACAAAAATAGAATCCTGTAGTGGATACAGGAATGCAGCTGATACACGTATCTCCTACTTTTATTGCTTTGCGTTAATCAGAAGAGCCTTATTATTTCCATTGATTGATTTTATAATTCATCTTATAAATTTAAGTAAAAATATGTTTATTCTAATTAAATATGGATATATCTGCTATTTTTGGAAAGAACAGATATTTATAAGTAACTTACTCATTTGTATATTCATTTGATAAGCATTTATTGGCACTGTGAAGTGGCAGGCATTAGGCTCTAGGCTGAGGATGTAAGTTTTACAGGCTCTAAATGACAAACCTGTTGGGTTTCCACATGACTGTGCATTCAGAAATCTAAAGACTTTATTGCTTTAAGAATGCTTTAAGACCTCTACCTTGTAAAGTGCCTTATTTCTTCCAGTCAGTTGACTCCACTCTTGGTTTTGCAGAGGTCCAGCTGGAGTAAGAGCCCAAGCTCTGGATCGAGATGGAAATCTGGTAGAAGATTTTGTATTTGATGGAGGAGTTGGGGTTATTGGAAATCGCATTCTTCATGTGAGAAATGCACCTTCCCCTGCTGCTACTTCTTCCCTTGCAATTTCTGGAATGATTGCAGATGAAGTGCAACAAAGATTTAAATTGTAAATAATGAAAGGGCTAGCTATGCATTTTAATCTCCACATTCAGCAACATCCACAAGAGTGTACTAATTGCATTCTTTAATTTAAGAAACATGGTTTGAAAATAGCGTTTTTTTAGATATCTCGTGTAATAACCATTGAATTGTTAAGCTTATGTAAAATAGAAATAATTGGTTAAAATCCATGCTCTTTTACTTTGTGAATAAAGAGAAAAGATACAGTTGTATCTGTCCTGAATCCCTGTCTTTGTTAGTGACCTGTCCTCACCAACCATAATCTAGAGATTTTGCTCTTTTAGAATTTTGGAGAACGATGGCATAAAAAATTGCCTATTCCCTTAACTTTTTGACTGTATAATATCTAAACTTTTTGTCTCCTAAAGACAAGAAAGTATATTGTAGGTTGCAGACCTTTTGATTTTGAAGTCTTAGAAAAGCCCCCATTTAAAGCAACAATATTTGTATTTGGGAATTATTGATTTTTGAAAAATATGTGAAATTTCACATTTTTAAAGTATTAACTTGAGTAAGGTTCTACTGAGCTGAATATTTGCAGAGAAATTCAAAGGCTTTTGTATTCCCATTCTCTTTATAACCGACTTGGTGTGGTGTCATCACCAAAAGAGAACAGCAGTACATTATAGATGGTTGTTGCCAACTCGTCAATTTTCTGTGGTTGAGAAACTAAAAGGACATAGAACTGATAGGTTTTTACGAGAGCAATTTTAGAATCCTGGCGCTGATACACAGAACTCTGTAATTTAAAAAATCATTTACCTCTTATATCTCTGCTCTTTAGTTACACCAAGTTTCTCAGATGTTAGCCAAGATCACTAATGATTCATGCTGACTTGGTTTTCCAGGGATCCTATAAACTTTTATGAGGATATTTCTTCATTTTTGGAAAATACCTAACTCTGAGGCATTCACTTTTGTAAACCGCAGAAGTGCCTTACATTCATGTGTACTTCATGGGTATTTTAAATTATTGGCCAGTGCCATACTGTATATTATATGCTGTATATATGTGTGTGGTATCTGTTAAAATGATTCTTGCAATCCAGAAAGTTGGAAAATAGAAATATAAATGAAAATAAGGCAGCCTAGAGATTGGGAAAACTTTTATTACAGAACCATCATTTAGGTGAGATGTTTTCTTCCATTCCCTTACATGTACTCTCTCAGGAATAATCATGCTCTCTTTGTCTTTTTCTTTCTTTTTATCACTCCAAAGATGTGTGATAAATGAGTTAGAAGTTACATGCAGTTTGGCTGTTAGAAAAAGCTTTTCTCTTTTTTCCTTTTCACTTCAAGTGTTTGTGATTACATTGATTGAACTACCTCATCCATTAATTTGAAAGGCTACACATCATCCACTCATGTTCAAGAAGTAGCACATCCCAGGTAAATAGACTAGGCAATTACTCAAAACTTGTAATGAGCATATTTAAAGCATTTGGAAACCATTCACAGAAGAAACAGGCCCTAATGGTTCTTCGTAACAACTGATTCCTCTAAGAAATGTGACACACAGGCTATTTTTCTGTTGCATTATAAAACTGTTAAGAAATGGAAAATATTACAATTCTCTATTTCATCAACGGTAAGATTGCATATGCACTAAGCTGTGAAAGACTGAAATTACAAAAATAACTGTCCTAATTAAAGCAATCCTTATTCTATGTGGGTATATGCTATACCACCCAAAAATGCAAGTGAAAAATTTATTGAAAGTGTTTTGAATGTGTAGGTTATTAACTATTTGTAAAACATTTTTGTATTTATGTCAATAGGGTTTTATTGTGTAGTACCAATACACTTGACAAGTTTTGTGTATTTCTGAGAGAAGAAAATGTATATTAATATTAAAATATTTTAATGAGCCTTGGTGTTGTGAACATAATTTTTAGTTTCATAAACACTGATTCAAATGTTTTATGTGTCAAACTTGAACTATCATGGCTTTAGATAGCAGCCAATCTTAAAAAAAAATGTTCTCTATTTGTGTATAATCGAGAAGTGAGGTAAAGTAGTTTACATTTTGGGTAAAAAGTGGAGTACTTCTCCTCTTACAAAAATGGCTTTCTATCTAGCTGAACTCAGTGTCATCTTCATACCCCAGAGCGCCAGGGGACATTATTTCTGTTCCATAGCAGAATGTACAAGTATGTAATGTATGAACACAATGATTTCCAGGGAGCTGGGGAGAGGGAGTCCAGTAAGTAAATCAATCTTTTGGAAATTTACTAAAAAATAGTTCTTGGGAAGACATTTTTGGTATGCTATCTCTAACAGGGGGTTGGGCTTCTGGGCATGAGCCTCCCATTATAGGGCAAATGATCTCTCTCAGTACCCGCTCCAATTTCTTTATGGCAGGTGGACTGTAAGAGAACCAAAGTTAGGTACAGCAACGAAACTTGAAAGTGAGTGACAATGACATTTATTGTTTCCTGTGGTGTTGCTTTGGTTTGCTACTGACTGGTAGCACTTGTAGCTTTAAATAAATTGAGGAAGAGAGAGTACACAGGAGAAATGTTGAGTAAGTCCTTCTTGAAATGTTTTCAGTGGGAGAATATTAGTGGTAACATTTTAACTGCCTTTTAAAATCTGAGTAGTGCCTGGGTCATTCAAATTTTCTCCCAAAAGCCATTCTAAATTTGAAAAAGACAAAACTAATATCTATCAAATTATAACTATGATAGCATATTAATTTTAACTCAAATTTATGATTGAGCTTTTTAAAAAATTTTAAATGTTTATTTACACTAATTATAATTCATGCCAGTTGGAAGAACAGTAGGGTTGTGATGTCACATAAATGCTTTAATTGCATTCTCATTACTGTATAATGTACTTGAAACCCAAGTCCACACCATCTTGGTTGCATCCTTTTTATTTTATTGATTATGCTATTATAGTTGTCCCATTTTTTCCCTCCCTTTTATTCCTCTCCACCCTGTACCGCCCCACCCCCAGCAATCCTCCCCCCCAACCTTAGTTCTTGTCCTTGGGCCATACATATAAGTCCTTCGGCTTCTCCATTCCCCATACTATTCTTAACTTCCCCCTGCCTATTTTGTATATAGTATTTATGCTGTTTCTTTACTCCCTGTGCCTTTTCCCCCATTTTTCTCCCTCCTCCTCCCCTCTGATCTCCATTTCTATGATTCTGTTCCTGTTCTAGTTGTTTGCTTAGTTTTTGGGGTTTTTTTTTAAGGTTCAGCTGTTGATAGTTGAGAGCTTGTCATTTTACTGTTCATAGATTTTGATCTTTTTCTGAGATAAGTCCCTTTTACATTTCATATAATAAGGACTTGGTGATGATGTCAACTCCTTGAACTTTACCTTACCCGGGAAGTACTTTATCTGTCTTTCTATTCTAAATGATAGCTTTGCTGGATAGAGTAATTTTGGGTGTAGGTCCTTGCCTTTCATGACTTTGAATACTTCTTGCCAGCCTCTTCCTGCCTGCAAGGTTTCTTTTGAGAAATCAGCTGATAGTCTTATGGGAACGCCTTTGTAGGTAACCGTCTCCTTTTCTTGCTGCTTTAAGATTCTCTCCTTATCCTTAATCTTGGGTAACTTAATTATGACGTGCCTTGGTGTGGTCTTCCTTGGGTCCAACTTCTCTGGGACTCCCTGAGTTTCCTGGATCTCCTGGAAGTCTATTTCCTTATCCAGATTGGGGAAGTTCTCCATTATTTTTTCAAACAAGTTCTCAATTTCTTGCTCTTCGTCTTCTCCTGGCACCCCTATGATTTAGATGTTGGATTGTTTAAAGTTGTCCCAGAGGTTCCTAACACTTCTCATTTTCTTGAATTCTTGTTTCTTCATTCTGTTCTGGTTGAATGTTTAGCTCTTCCATCTGCTCCCAGTCCTTGATTTGAGTCCTTGTTTCCTTCCCTTTACTGTTGGTTCCCTGTATGTTTTTATTTATTTCACTTTGCATAGCCTTCACTTTTTCCTCCATTTTGCAACCGTACTCAACCAATTCAGTGAGCATCCCGATCACCAGTGTTTTGAACTGTGCATCTGATAGGTTGGCTATCTCTTCATTGCTTAGTTCTATTTTTTGGAGCTTTGATCTGTTCTTTCATTTGGGCCATATATCTTTCTTTCAGCACACCTGTTACGTTGTAAGGGGCGGAGCCTTAGGTGTTGGACAGGGCGGGGCTAATCAGGTCTCTGTGTTGTGACCCTGTATGTGTGGGAGGGGTCCAAGAGGGAACAATGCTGCTTCCTCGGCTCTTTGCCAGCTTTCAGTCACTTCCCCTGCTACCCACAAGCAAATTGGGCCCTTCTGGTGCTGATTCCCTGGTGGATGGGTTTGTGTACATTCTAGAACCCTGTGCATCTTTCCAATGGATTCTCCTGTGAGGCTGCGAGTTTCTCCTGCCTCTGCAACCCTCACAGATTTTTACCTCCTGAGGTTTTGAGGCTTTATTTTCCTTCACTGGAACCACCTGGTCTGCCAGCCGCTGCCTCGCCCGCCTGGTCTTCCAGCCACCGCCTTACAATGCGTCCTCTCTGCCCTGACTGCCCATCTCCACGCCTCCTACCGGTCTGGATGAATTTCTTCTTTAACTCCTTGGTTGTCAGACTTCCATAGAGTTAGATTTTCTGGCAGTTCTGGTTATATTTTGTTTTAAATTTGTTGTCCTTCTTTTGGTTGTGTGAGGAGGCAAAGTGTATTTACCTATGCCTCCATCTTGGCTGGAAGTCTGGTTGAACTTTTTGTTATATATACATAGGACCTCTTTCTTACAGTATCAGTGTGTTTAATAGTTGCATTTTTTAACATTTGAAGCAGGTGATTATAATGAGGTTAGAACTTTTTCATTTAATTTGGCTTTTAATTAGTGTTTTGAACAAGTACAACTTTCATATGGTTGAAAAGTCTCTCCTGCAGCCACCTGGTCCTCATCCTTGATGCAACAAGAATTTTCACTATCTTGTGCAGCTTTGCAGAGATATTATATTTACATATAACAAAATGTACTGCCTACATTTTTATATGAGTGGTAGCATACTCTGAATACTGTATTATACCTCTTGACCTTTTCGCTTTGTAGTATACTTTTGAGAATG